AATTCTGCAATATAGCCATAATATTACTTTTCGATTGAGGAAATTATTTACTTTCTGCTGATTCTACGAGACCCCTCGTTGACAACTTTGGTTCAATATGGTTACGGTTTGTGTTTCCCAGCCATATATTTGTCATCGGCGTTGTTTTCGAGGTTTTGAATCATTGTCGGGTACCGAATATATGTGTATTTTGACTCATTCTGTCAAGTTCGTTTCCTATTTGCGTTTTATTTGTGGTATAGAATGCAGTTGCTCTTCTTGTCGTCGTCTGATAACCTCGTAAGAGCCTGTGAAATTTTATATTTATTAGATGAACTTGTATTCATGTATTGTTTCGTGAAATGTTCGTGGAATTTTCCATATTGTAAGACGCTGGTTGCGCGTTCATTTTCAAGGAGAAGTCTGAAGTGTATCATGCTTTAGCTTCACAAAGCGACTTATGCTTGTTGGATGAAGACTAAATTCAGACTTTGCAACGATATGATTCGCGTATCGACTTTCTCCAGAGTATATTCGAAAGTTGTTCATCTCTTGCTTGCGCTGTTTTAGAGTAGTGTGATCAACTTCGACGAATAATTTATAGGATTTTATTACCGTAGCTATTGGAGACATTCGTTCATGCAAAATTTCGCCAGGTAATTTGTGTATCATCAATGGCGATTTGTTAGCGCCTATTCTTGAGTTTTTAGTTTTCTTCATAATAATGTTTAGATTACACTCTCATTTTGTTGCGTAATATCGCGATGGCAGTTTTACTTAGCGTATTGTATTGTAGCGTATACGATGAATTTGTACAGAATTTGTATTTTGATCATGATAGTTTACTACGTTTCAGACTACAGTTATGTTTTTTGTGTTTAATGATTGTAATTGTTATGTACGAATAAAGGTCATATTATCCACAAACCATCCTTTGAAACCACGTTTCTCTGTAATATTCTATTCTTCAAGCAATCTGGTCAATGTCAATATGAAGGTCAAATTGACAATAACAAATTATTCCAACTTGTCCCACAATTTCTCTTATCACATCGGAAACACCAAATCAGCAACATAATATCAGAAAACAACAAATGTGAGAAACCCATGTTTTCTCTGCTCCCTCGTTCGTATTTCAATGCATTTCTACAACTTCCTGTATCTACACGTAATACGTAATGTAACATTAACCCTTTGTCGCCAACTTAAGAATTTTTCTTCACATTTGAAATCGTGGTAACGAAAGCGTTATTGACTGAAATTATACATGAAATCTTTACTCGTCAAATTTTCACCTCTGTAGACAACCTATTAGTCTGGATTGCAGTTATGCTTACCGGTGTATATACCATTTTAGCGATTAAATTATTGTCAAGGTGCTGACTGCAGGAGTTATGGTTATAGATAAAAATTAATAAATCAATCATTGGTAGAAAATTCATGGTTTGGATCAAGTCCAAAATTGAATACGTTTTTTTGTGTAAATATGACGTATTTATATCATGTTTTTTGTTGTTGAATGTCACCAGACCAATTTATTAAATCAACTTTCGATTTTATGTAGTACGATTTATGTATTTGAGTGAACACGAATTTTGTGATAGATTTTGAAGTGGAACCATAAAGCGTTTTGCTAAATAAGCTGGTCCCATTTTGTTTAGATTATTTTTCTCGCAACCAGAATTTCACCCAAAATTTCCCCCTATTCAAATTCAAAAGCACACTTTTATTTGATATTCGAGGCAGTTCATGAACTTTGCTCTCATGTTATATTTATCTACCGGTAGTTCATTCTTTACATTCATAATAAGATTATTTGCACTAATTACCTCGTTATAATCACCAATGTAAACATTCATGTCCGTAAATTCTCATTGTTTCGTCGCTTTCAACTTCTAAACATTTCGATATTGGCCCTAGGAATAATTTATTATGAATTGGTTACAATTCTGATATTGTCCTTTCATTGATTTTCTTTGAAAATTTGCGTTTGTGTGATATCGTTAACAATTTATTGTTTAATTGATGATATGGCATATATTCATTATTGTGTATGAAACTAAACTTTATTCACTAATTGCGCGTAACAAGCTATTCTGTTTTTACCGAAACTAGAAAATATTTTTCTCAAGTTCTGTTGAAGGAACTTGGATTATACATTAGTATTGATTGTTCCAAATTGTTAGTTTTATTTTCGGTCATTCCTTTTTGCGTTTATTTAATAACTTGTTTAAGCATGTAAGATACGTATTTTAGATTTATTACGATTAGTACAATATTAGAAATCTTTGCTCAACAAAACACTGTACGTGTCATCGAAATTCAAATCGCAAATTCCAGGGAATCATCTATATATTCTTATCGAATGATTATAAATTTGGCAGCAACGCTTAATTAACGTTGTCCGCGGCATGACAAACATGCGTAACAATTCCCAGTTTAGTGAATTTCTCGCAATTGCTCACTCTCGTACCTGGATAGCCCGACTAGGGTTTACGTCACGCCAATGACGCAACGACCGAAAAAGAAAAAATGAGAGTGAAGATGTTTATTGCCAAAATGATACTTTTCACTTCTAACAAAAGTGTAGACCCCAACCTAGTACATTATTTAGTAGTTTATAGCAGATTTTACGTAAATAACCAAAGCGGTGATATTGCATGCTTAGTCGAGTATGGTCCGTGTTATACGGGTTACGACCCTTATTTCGCGTTAGATTGTTGCTTATATTAATGATAGTAATAATAACAACAACAGTAACACGCATATAGTTTTGTTATCAAGGCGCTAATGTATTTGATTACTTCGTCTGACCCATATGTCTCGATCGTTTGGGTTCAACAACGTGTTATAATCATATTTAGTTAGTTGTGGTAACTTTACGGTTCATACAACTGGTGATTTGTCCCGCTAGTTACAGAGTTTAGATACACAAATGTTTCGTTAGTTCATGTTAAATCGTTGTTAGTGTTGCACTTTGGGAGGGAAATCATTTATTCTGTGGTCTTTTGAAAATGTTGTTTTAAAATGTTGAAAGCACCTTGAGGTAGTTATAGGCAAGAATAACTCAATAATTAAGAAAATAAATGTAAAATATTTATGCGGCAAGATGATGATCAATCTTCCAAATTATTTATATATTTTTTTTTTTTTACCAATATTCGGAATATTTTGAGGAAGACTTGGACTATGGAAAATGGCTTTTCGTTGTCTATGCGTTAGGACGAAGTTTTAAGAAATAAATTTGGAATATTATTCGTTTTAACCCTGGTATATTGGTTCCAATGTAAATATTTCATATCAACTTGCTTGTGTCATACTAACGCCAAATTTTGAGTGTATATTATTCAAATATGCTATTTCGGACATTTGGTGCATCGATTGCTATTTCACGCTAAATTGCTATAATGCTATGTTATCAAAATTAAATGAGGTCCAAACGGAACGGCGACCCATATCACATATTATGCACATCCTATCCTCAATATTATTGAGGTAGTTCAAAAAATGTTTCACCTATCTGAGAAGTGTGATTCGTATATACGGTGTCTTATCACGTTTTCTGTGATCAATGAGATCATTTCTGTGAATGCCATTGCGCCGCCTTTTCCGAATGACTTGAATGGCAATTAGGCAATTCTTATTCACGTAATCCATATTGGACTTTAAAATGCCTTTCATACGTATATTATCAACGATTTTCGATGTATTTCACAAGTGACGTATGCTAGTAATATTCCTACAAGCATACATATCTGCAGTCCTGATTATTTTCGTTTACAAGATATTCGTCCTCTTCTGTGGAACAGGTAGATTTTATGTTAGAGAGCCTATATCTGTATAAATTTCGGAAAAAAACAACAAATTGTAATTTCAATGGACCATGCTTGTGCGTTGCGTTTATTTGCTAGATCAGGTATTTCTCAATAACTTAACCTCATACTAATAGAATTGAGTTGCGAGTGTATGTTTCCATAATCTAAATTATATTTATCAGCTTATATAACACTTTGAATGTACAGTAATTACATATGATTAGATTGGACCTTGGATTCTCTTTTATCGGCGTTTTTTCGTTGTTTATTTTCATGCAAGATCGTAACCAAAAATTATTTTTGACCGAACTTTTCAAAATAGAGCCAGACTCGAAAATGGACTGATATGATGGTTGTTAACTGTCTACCATTTGACAAAATGGATCACTATTTTTCCAACTAAAACCTTGATATCGATGGCGTTTTTTTCGTTGTTTATTTTCATGCAAGATCGTAACCAAAAATTATTTTTGACCGAACTTTTCAAAATATAGCCAGACTCGAAAATGGACTGATATGATGGTTGTTAACTGTCTACCATTTGACAAAATGGATCACTATTTTTCCAACTAAAACCTTGATATCGATATAATTTGATAACGATCGATAAGAATGAATACTTTAGGTTAGGATTGCTTCGCATGTGCCAAGACAGCCTAAAACGTTAGTGTTTATTTTTTGATGGTTTCGCTCACGAATTGGCCCGGATAATAACCAAGTAGGTGTTTTTGCGTTAGTCGAAATTTCCAGATTCGTGAGATATTTATAATAATTCTAGTAATAGCAGAAGACGGAGGTCCAGACACCATTGGATATTACAAGTCGTACTTTTTAGGTGATGATTGATTTTTATTGATCATGTTAAAACAATGAAAATCGTCCCAATTTCACTCGTTTCCTTATCATAATTAAACCACTTATTAGGACCCTGTTAAATGAAACTAACTTTATATTTCCTTTCATTTCATTAATATTTGGGCGGGCGTTTAGTTTGAATATGTGAGTCTTATAAGGTACGGTATCAATCTAAAAGAAAAAATGCCAGTCAAAAATGTTAGTTGCCGACTCGCCTAAATTAATAAAACAATAATTTGTGTGGCAGGCATTTTATTGGCGCTATTATAAAAGTACTTTGTAATAACCTAAGCCCTTGTGTATTCGGTATTTCTGAATGCCTGATAAATTGCATCACAAGACACATATTAATCAACGTTATTTTTGCTTCCAATCGTCACGTTTCAGATCTTCATTAAGCGTGTTATCAAAATTTATGTTTTTACTGTCAGTTCGGGTCACAACATTATGGCAACTACCTTTGCCAGTTTAAGTGAAATTTTAAACATGGATTTAACGCCACCGATAAATAGAGATTTAGCTGCTTTAAGTCGAGGAAAAATGGAAAAAGAAGATTCTATATGCTCGGACTATAGCTTATCTGATATTGAGGATGGATTGGAAATAGAGTCGTCCGATTTAAATCTAGACGTCGACGAAATTTTGGGTACAAAAACGCTGTCAAGCGGCCTCGATTTTAAGAACGATAAATATACAAAGGGCGTGCCGCCTAATCAGATCGGGCGTTGGTCAGATTCCAGCGGAATATCCCTACAGGATTCTCCCGTGTCAACCATGGTACGCTCACCGAGGCAGTCTTGCGTGTTTCACTCGCCTAATAAATCGCCAGCGATACTGTTCCCTAAAATAGAACTGACTGGGTCGGAATTACGAATGAATGCTAATACGACGACAGAAAAGACTGGTATAACAAAGATGATTGATATGTTTGAAGACGAAACAACTTCGAGCGGGAATCTGAAAGTTTCAAATGAAACGAATTTCAAACGACATCACTCAGAGCCAAGCGACGAATACCATATTGATGCTGATCAAAAAACCTTACATGTTACTCGAAAACACATGCCTTTAAAACGGGAGAGAAGTGTGAGCCAGGGAGATCCAAGTGGTGCTTCATCATCTGACAAGAACAATAATAATAATGAAATTCCAACGTTTAATACTCTGTCTAATAAGCCTACTCATCGTATCGCCGGGAATCCTACATCAGCTCAGTGGAAGCTATACAATATAGCAATGGAAACGTATCGTAAATCAGCAGAGAAAAATGGCCCACAAAGATTAAGGACAAGCTCAGACGCATCAGAAAACACAGATGAAGGCTCGGGATTTAAAGTGATACCTGTTAGTAAAACATCTTCTCACGTCTCTTTACCCAGAAGTAGTGGGGTTGTAAGCTTATCTGGTTCTTCCGTTGGAACAGAAGCAATTTCTGGTGTTGAAAATAAATCAGAACAATCGTTTGGTCCAATTTGTCCTGCAGATCAACAAAAACCATCATCTCCTATGCATAATGCATTGGATTATAAAACAATTTTACGAAGAACTCGGAGCAAACGACAAGCTTCGAGAACGCTCGTAAATCCAATTATTCTTCAAGATATTCAGGATAATATTTATTCTGATGATGAAAACCCAGACACTGTAACAGATATTGATTCTTTCTTATGTTTCGATTCTGAAGAAAGCAATTCAAAAAAAGACTTTCAACCTTCATCTCCTCAACTCAAAATTGATTCGACTGATGGTGATGTCATGAAAAGAAGTAGCTTGGGTCGAACAGCCTGTAAAGTTGAATCAAAAACGCCTGAAGTAATTGTTTGGTCAGGCTTGAAAGTTCTAGCAGAGAAAAAGAAGCTCAGCTTACAGGCTGCTAAGAGTAATGTACTCACTCGATTACAGAAAATGAGTTTAAAAAGCGGTTCTGTGTTTTCTGCATTCGAAAACGAACAAAAGGAATACAATTTACGTAAAAACGCAATCATAACGAAGCGCAATAAATCTGTTATTCACCATCCTACACAGAATTATATTTATCTTGATCCAGCTTCCCATAATGGTTGTAATATGACGTCATCATTCGGACAATATCACACTGTCGCCAGTCCCGCAAGGTTAGCTAGAATGCGAAAAAAGAGTTTAGCAGATTGTCAAGTATCTGCTTCAACAAATCGGCAATTTTGGCAACTTGAAGAAATACGAAATACATCAAACGATACAAAGATTTCTAGAAGTAAAGCTTGGAAAGAAAAGAAAAGCATGTCTGTTGCTTGCAATAACCAACAGACAGTGGTGAATTCAGATCATTTACACGAAGATGCGAGAATGAATAAAAGATTAAGTGTATCTCTATCTGATTTAACTATCTGCCCCGAAAATAAATCTTTTATGCCAAATAACACTAGCGTCAATAACAATAATAATTTTTTACAATTGCCAAAGCAATCTCCATTAAGACGAGGGAAAGACCAAGCAAATTCAATGAAAAGACCTGATAATCTTGTAATTGACTTGAACAATGGAACTTGTAACATCTCAAAATCTTCAGCAAATAGAAGGCTATCTACAAGACTCTCAAACAATCGTAATCCTCCGAAATTATCGATGCCAAAAAATTTTAATATTAATATTTCCCCTGTCATGGGTAAAAAGAAACTTCAAAAACAGTTGCCTGGTATTGAAGAGAACAGTGTTTTACCTAATAAACAAAAAGAACTATCCTCGAGTATTGAAACTGATTTAAATACTTTCAGACAGTCGCCAAAGCATAAAGACAAATTAAAACTTACTAAAAAGAAGTCGTACACTTTTGCTTCTGATCCTTTCGAAGGAGCTTTGAGTGAAGATATGTCAAAATTAGACTGGAACATTGAAGAATATTTCTCTTTTCTGTCTGGGAAAAAATCGAAAACAAATTCACCATGTTCAGAAAATTCTGTTACTTTACTTTCCGTTAACAAATCAACACAGGATTTTGAAGTTGATAAAGTTGAACCATTATCTTACAACCCAATTTTTGAAAATCTCACTGAGTCCTCGCCAGAGAAAAAAACAGACACAGTAAAACGAAGGCGAAGGAAAAACAACGAGTCAAATAATATACCGTCGTACATACCAGACTATATGAAGCCTGCTTACAGAAATGCTCTTCAGCAAAGCAATGCCCGTTATCAGCTAAATATTCTTGATAAATCTGGTCCTGATGAAAACACTTTCCAAAGTATGGAGACATTTATAAAAAGACCTTCGGTGCAAAAATGCAGGCGAAACTCTGTGGTCGGCCAATCAAGAACATGGAGCGGACGTGTATCAGAACGAAATAAAACTAAATCCAAAGTGAAATTTGGATCTCTATCAATAGCAAGGCTATTGAAAGCTAACAGATTAAAATTAACAATAGGTAGGTGTTTCTATTTCAAATTTAAAGATGTTTGTACCTAAAATTGAAACAGATTATTGGGCATTAGAAAAACTTGCTCGTTTTTCATTCTTTATTTTTTTTTCATCATTTTATCTTCATGTAGCATTCTATTTTTGCATCCTATTTAGCTAAAATGCAAAGGCCTCCTCCACCTTCATCACCGAGACCTACAGCAGGTATTTACGCTTCTGTGCATGGCGCTGACATGATCTCGAATAGTGTATAAATTTGTTAAAAAGTGTTGATTATTCAGTTAAATGTATTGTTTGGGTGTCGTCGTTAATAAAATAATCATGACAATTTATTTTATTTGATGATTTTCAGAAAACTATTATTCTCTTTTTTTTACATTGAATCAACACAATAATTCCCAAACACACTAAATTTGATTCATCATTATTTTCATGAAATTAGAATCTTCAAACAGGTTGTTAAACTGTGCCATTGGGTTTTCAAAGGACTAGTAAGCATGGTATACCCAATTTTTTCCACCTTGGATCGGATAATTAAATCTGTAAACTGTGATTTCAACGTAGCCAATGTATAAACTACTAGCTTACAGTGATGGGTAGAGGTCTCTAAACCCAGATTTGCGATTCAAATCATGGGTCGTCCTAGCCTAAAACCGAATCCGAAGTCCGTTCAATCACTGAACTTCAAATTCTCATCAGTCGTTAGTTATATATAAGTCATTTCATTTACACAACTCAGTCACTTAGAGTCTTTGATAAGTGAGTACTCGAGTTGAGTCAATTACTCGAGCCGCCTCAGCACTACCGGTAATAGCGAATTACACACATGATTTGTTCTTCTCATTCTGTGTTTTTTTACAATGAATAAATTAGTCATCTTACTGGTTCGAATTTAAAAATAATATTTCTAGCTAAAAGTACCGGTAATACATGCTCGTGTCATGGATTTTAATTAATATTTTGTTCAGCATTCATCATCAAATATCATTTTTTGTTTGATTATTATTTCATTTATGCAAATGAATCAACTAAACCTAACAGCATACACATTTGTTTCATGTTATACTATGATCTCTGTAATAATTGGGATATCTTATTGTGCCATCTAACAACTAACTGAAAAATGCTTAATTGTCTCATGGAAAGGCATGCAGATTGTAACAACTATCGGTACTTTCTTTGAAATCCAACTTTGATTCAAGAAAACATCATAGTTAAAATTTCATATGCATGAGAGAATGAATAACAAATATCTGAATTTCATTTTTTTTACTATAGTTTGGGACCGGGATCTTTCTGGTTCACCTTTGCTCATTCAATTTATTACACCTTGGAGATGAGCATGGGATTTGAACCAGATTTCAATCTACGATGCCTTCTAAGTTTAGTCTACGGGTTCAACCACCTTGTCCTTTTTGTCATTTATATTTATTTCTCTGTAAATAGAGAACGATTCTTGAAACCATATGAAATTTCTGAGTTATGAACTTGCTTTTGAAAGTATTCAAATCACCGTGGGTCATCATATTCAACCATTCAAGGTTATTCGATTTAACATCAGCAAATTGACGAATTTTTGATCAGCTTATGTGCTGATCTATTTATATATCTTCTGAGAAAATTTGAGCCATGTTTTTATCATTGAAAAATATTGAGTATCATTTATTGTTTGCCTTCTTAAAATAGCTGAATTTCTCAACAAACAAACATACTATTAAAATAATAGTGAGGATTATTTTGGATTCAACGCCTTCTTTATGCAAATTTACCAGCATGCTTCTCTCAAGTCAATTTAACAACTACAGCTAACAACATACATTTCAATATTCTGGCATGTGTCATACTTTTTAGTTATTCATTACGATTCAAATTATTAATATTATTTTGCGGTCATTCTTATTTTGGTTTTGTACTTCACTACATAAAAACGTTTCATTTGAAGCATCGTTTTATTAAACAATGAATTATTATTGAAAAATAATGATGTTCATATAAGGCAAGGAGGATCACAATAAAATGAGTTTTGCATATGTGAAATTCATTGTATTTAAACTGAATAGAATTTTTATTTTTGGGACAATTACATTTTTTTTTACTTCTATTTGTTATATTTTTGAAAAATGTTAAACAAGGTATATTTTTTTTACAGCCCCTCAGAACCAGAACCATGTCCAATCGTCCAATCAACCTGGACATAATTCGAATCTTTCCTTGTCTACTACCAATATCAAGGGTGGAATGATGCAGGAAGAATCGAAGAAAGACAAGAAAAAGAAGAAGGGAAAGAAAGGAAAATTAACGAAAGCAGATATCAGTCAACCACAAGATTTCAAGTATGTATTTGAATTTTATACTGGAATTTTATTCTCTTGAAAATTATTATTATGATATATTTATACATACCCTTTCGCTCGGAACACGGCTCTGCACAATCAGCCACTGCCACGTAAGGTGCTATAGATAAAAAGGACCGGAATATTTCTAGTTTGGCATTGCCAGATTTATCACACCCTCGGTTGTGGCTATGGTATTTGAATCAAAGATTTTAGGCATAATTAAGTATAGCGGTTCAACCACAGGTCACCACTTTCATAATTAGTAGTGAATAATCCTAAATTTTGTAACCAACATAAACAACTAAAACGCCCAATGTGTCTGTCATAAGAGCTTTTGGTTCAGTTGTCTGTTATTATTGAGCTCACAGAAGTGGACCTACAACAACAATGGAAAAATTTTATTCAAATATATTGATATGAAATTAAGTATAATTTCTGATTTTCAGGCATGTTGGCCACGTTGGATGGGATCCTAACAAAGGATTTGATGTGAGTATATTTATATCTAAAACTATCCTTCCTAACTTAAAGAATGTGGTATGTTGAGTGTGTTTGTTCTTATTGAATATTTCACAACGTTTTTCTATACATGCTTCCATTCTCCTTCTATCAGTAATGGAGAAATACCTGGTGATATGCGCAACTTTGGGTGATCCCGAAGTATTTGTACCAAGATGGCGCACAACCTGAACATAGTATGTGCACCAGGTTAGGGCTTTTCAGGTAGTGCGTCATCTTGGTACGAATACTTGGAGCGCCCAACTTTGCACTCGAGTTTTTGAAAAGTTTGTAATGTGATCATGAATATCTATGACATGGATGAGTACTAATAAATGAGTTAATATTAGTAATACCAGTTCAAATACAAAAACCAATTTCCTCTCGGAGAACAGTAAAATACTTTTCTGGTTGGAAACACTGATCTAAAGAATATGTTGGGGCGCCATATTGTGCTTTTTGTTAATTTTTGGTATTGCTAGTACTTAATGGTAAACTGTAAATTTTCAGATGAATGAAGTTGATCCAGCATTGAAGGATTTATTCACTCATGCTGGAATCAGTGAAACACAGTTGCAAGACAAAGAAACTGCACAATTTATTTATGATTTCATTGAAAAACGTGGTGGAATGGATGCCATCAAGTATGTTGTTTTTTAATTTAAAATCGATTGTGTTATAATATTAATTTCTGCTTGTTTTACAGTTAAATTATTTTCTCTTTTGTTTTGTTCCAGGCAGCAAACACGAACTGGACCACCACCACCCCCACCCTCTCGTGGTGGGGGTAGAGGTTCTGCACCCCCACCGCCACCATCCAGAGGAGGTCCACCACCCCCTCCGCCAAGTCGAAATCAGGGCCCCCCACCCCTCCATCAAGGGGTTATAATCCACCCTCTCATCGTTCTGAACTGCCCCCTCCCCCACCCAGTAATAGGGGTCGAGGAGCACCACCTCCACCACCTATGGGGGCACCTCCACCACCCATGAGTGCGCCCTATCCACCAATGGGCGGCGCCCCACCGCCACCTCCTCCACCACCCCCGGCACCAATGGCACCACCACCCCCTCCTATGCCCACTGGCGGAGGTTCCGACCGCTCCGATTTGCTCTCAGCAATTCGAGGGGTAAGTAACAACTTTATTTACACAATTTTACACAACAGTAACAATAACGATAGTACTGATAATATCCTTCAATAGAATACCCCGAGCTATAGATAGATCTCTGAATGCATGTAAAGAGCCTTTTTCAGAGAGGAAATGGTGCACAAAAAACTCAATAATGATGTGTTAATAGCAGCCCATCCTTCTTTCTCTATTTTTTCATGAAATTTTCCTCTGTGTTGAAAATTTGGTACATGATAATCGATGATCTTAATGTATGATGCCTTAAAACGAATTTTATCCATTGACTTTCTCTGTGCTTTGTTGGATATGCTAATTCATACAAATTAATTTTAATAAAACATGTTTCTTTTCCAGGGCACCAATTTGAAAGCTCCATCTGCTGCACCTCCTCCTGAACCTGCCACAGGACGTGGTGCATTACTTGATCAAATTAGGCAAGGAAAACAGTTGAAAACAGTAAGCCAATGTTATAATTTCCTTTTCAAATTTTTCAACAGATTACATATTTCCTACTTCGGATCTGTATGTGACTGTTGCTACAAGCATGCTTGAACAAGACAGTACTAAAGTTTGAAATATGAATAACATATTCTGCTTCTACGGAATAGAAAGCATCTTTGATATACTCCTAATATACAGAACTTTCTATCTCATACAAACAGAATAAGAGATTATGGTATTCATATTCAGTATGGACTTTAAATAACGATGATTAAAATATTGTTTTCATTGTGAAATCGAAAATTTGTGATTCTAAAAAAGAGAGGTAATTACAACTTGCAAGTAGATTATTGTATAAACTGACAATAAATTTGTATAATTCGCTCAGGTTTCTCAGGATGAAATGAGAGACAAACCAACGGAAGATGAGGATGACGGTGGAATTGCTGGTGCTCTGGCCAGAGCCTTAATGCAGAGAGAAAAAGCAATTCATGGTATGTTTGGAAAAAACTGTAATGTCATAAAAAAATGTTGCTTGTTTCTCCAAAAAGTGTTTTCGGCTGGATTATGTTCACTGTCAGCGGTGGGCAACGTTTTTGAACCACGGGCCAAAAATTTCCTAGACTGGTGGGCCATGTGTGACGTAAAATGGAAATATTTACAGTGTTACAAAAGTAAAAGTGGAAACAATAAGCCTTGTGTTAAAACTACCGGTAAATCTAATTGCAATCTCAACAAATTCCATGAGCTATTTTTTAGCTGAAACATTGAAATTTGGTGTTACCTTGGTTGTGGCATCACCGTGTGGGCCAGATTGAATTACCCAGAGGACTGGATTTGGCTCACGGGCCATAGTTTGTCTATGTCAGGTGTAGCCTCAAGGTCTGGACAAAGGGCACTCCCGAAGTATGTGCACCAAGATGGCGCACAACTTGAATCCTAACCGGGTACTCATACTATGTTCAGATTGTGCGCCATCTTGGTGCACATACTTCGCGAGCTTCAGAAAAGGACCTTTTATGCCAAAAACTCCTCCAGTTTTTTCTATCTCGTACCTATTTTTCTTACAGTCTTGCACCATCAGGCATTTTCATAAGCTACAGTCATAACTGAACACTTATATTTATATGTCTGCAGTAGCTCTTAGCGTTTCAGTGTTTGCTCTTGACTTTTATCAGAGATGGTTCTTCTTTACTTCTGAGTGGGTGCACAAGCTTACTTTGTGTAAATTTCCCTGAAAACATCATTGCTGATATTATTATCTTTTGTTGTCAAAATTCCACAGATTGAGTATTTTTAAAATTAGAGGCATTTTCAAGTATGCCTGTGGCCTGTGCTATCATTTACCCATATTTGATAGATAAAAAAATATGGGTTTCCTACTTTTTTCTATAATTCATGGAGTATAGAAATATATGAACTTTTTTTTCTAGATTCTGACTCTGAATCTGATGATGGTGAATTTAATGATGACGAGGACTGGGATGATTAAAAAAGAAGAGTGCCAGCACGAAAATATCCCATCGTTTGCTATGCATCGTGTGGAGCAGGTTGTTGTCTGCTCAATAATGGGTTCGACCATTTGATTAATTGTAACAACATAATTAGAATAATCATATTATCCAGCCACGTTTCGAATGTATCGGTGAGACACTGTATAGAAGAATGAACAGTGAGAAAATGTAGTTGACTATGACAAGCTTCTGCTTGCAGGTCTAATGTATTAAATATTTCGCAACATTATTTTTGTGATTGCTGCTTCATATATAATTCTAATATGGGCTGACATAAAAGCACAAAAATTATTCCAAATAATGCCATTTTGTATTTTCTGAATATTTTAATAATCTTCAAGCATGCTGAATCTTTAGCATAGCGCAACGTCGAATTTTACCCGAAATAATTTGACTTATATCATGATTTGATTGCAACAAAGTTTAAACTTTTATTTAAAAAGAAAAATTAGGCTAGAAATATGTTTCTATTACAAAAAATACCACCAAATTACTAACTGCAAAACTACCAGAAAACTTCCCAAAAATTTGGGCATCTACTCACATGTCAGTGGCTGCTAGCCTACAACCTTGGTTGGAGCATAGGTATAAAAAGACCAATAAATATTACTATTACGATCATATAATGTAGTTGTGCAAACGTGTATGGATTATAGTAACAGAATATCTAGTCAGTTTCTGCAAATCAAATTCACTCTGTGTTTGCATATCTATTTCAGCCACCTTCCATCCCCCTTGTGCTTGCTTTATCGAATATTTTATGCCTGTAATCCTAAAACAATAGAAGAATTGATAATTTACTCAAATATATATGTTCCACAGTTTGGTTATTAATAACTTATATCCCTAATAATCAATATTTAAGCAATTAATATTTACTTAATTAGTTTTCATATTCAGAATCAGATTAAATTAAATGTTTGTGTTTTCGTTTGCAACTTTTTTATTGTATCAAAAATTATTGTGAATGCGTTGAAAAGTTTTTTAGTGATTTGTTTATAAATTTCTCAAATGTGAAATAAATTTTGCTGGCCTTAATATTGGCAGTGATGGAATTCGAAATTTTAAGATTGGGTTCATGTCACTATCACTACGTAAGCTATGCTTTACATAAATCTAATACATAACAATCAAAACGCTAAATATAATGCTCTAGTCGTCAAGCTGTTATAGTAGCGGCGGCAGTCAAATGCCTAGAACAAAATTCCTTTATCAGCTATATATGATGAAGGCAGAAATTTTTGCATAGTCTTCCATTTATAGAATTATGTCATTTCGGATGTATGAAACTCCATTTCATGCTTTGACTTGAAGATTCCACTATGATACATTGACTCTACTTTGATATCCTATTAATTAGAATTGTTATTTATTATCGTTTTTGTGTATTTCTGATATTTCTTATTATCCAGCTTATTGTTACAAATTTACTATACATTCAAATTGAAATAAAATTTGCCACAGAAGCGTTTGTTTTTGTTAGGTGGGATTATAGATGTCTCAGTAGCTTCTTAGCTAAGTTAATTGAATTGCCTTGAAATGGGTTCTGATTTAAAGATAATTTCAATGTTATTAATGTTGGCCAGGTTAATCACTGTTGGTTTTATAGACACTGTGTATTATGTTATTGACTCAATTTCTGTATGATATCATAAGGGAAATTAAGCATTTTGCGTTTTTATAGACACTGTGTATTATATTATTGACTCAATTTCTGTATGATACCATAAGGGGAAATTAAGCATTTTGCGTTTGAGCAGTCTCTAAAGTATTTGCGTTAACTTTCAAATCTTGCAAAAGCTGCATTAAATGCATGCTAACAAGGAATGCACAAAATAAATAACATTGAATAAATTTGCCCATGAAACAAATTGGTTAAGTTTATCTGATTGGATGGATCCTTTTACAGCAAAAAGTACAGTACGTAGGATAATGAGATTCGGAACTCAAGTAACAGACTTTCAATTTCATTGCGGAGGAATGTAGTGAATTTGGCGAGTTTTGTCCTACCTCCAGAAAATGTTAATAAGGTTAATTGATTTTCTTGTAATTTATCATGTAAGTTAACCTTAGGATTAAAAAAAAACTAAGATAAATTTAGTTATAGGCAATTGTATAAATATTACAATATCTGATATTGCGGTTCAAGATCAAAACTTATTGCAATCATCAACCAATTTAAATCAGTTAATCAGTTGATTCCCAGCCCTTGCTTTAAGTAATTAGGTTGTATAATTTAAAAACTGGAACAGCCTGATGTTTTCACATATGTCATTAAAAACAAATGAATATACTGTAAAATAAATATTTTTTTTTGCGAAAAAAAGTGTAACAATCAACATGTATATTTCACAGTGGAATTATAACAAAAAAGTTAAAGAATACAATGAATTTGCAATAGATGCATACAAATACATGGCAAGAATATAGAGATATTTCATTAATGCTCTCTTTAACAAACAACAGGTGATGGTAAAAAGTGGATGGCACTTCATAGTTCATAAAAAATACAAGGATTAAATAAAGTTAGGGAAACAAGCAAGAACTCAATGTGCAGAAGATTCAACAAAGGTAACATTACAAGGTACAAATTCAATACGCAAAACTAAAAAGAAATTATTCTGTAAAATAATATATACTATTTTAAATACACATGTATAAATTTTTAATAATCATAAAGTAACAAGCCATGGTAGTACTGGCATCTCCAATTAAATTTTCGTGACATCCGAAGTGAAAGGGGAAAGGTGTAATATGAAAAACGTTTGAAATATCACACAAATTATTTGTAGTCATTGTAATGTAACAATGTAATCATTGTTAAGTTGAAGAGCATAGATTTCGCAACACATGAAACTTTTCTTCAGAATTTTTTATTTCTATCACAACGTCAATATTCATGCGTCATGAATGTTCTGAATTTAAGTCATTGCTTGGTTCAAATTGGTAACGAGGTGTTCTTCACACACAGTAAGATTTGAATGACAACATATATTCAAGAACCTCTGCAGTGAATAGCAATATCTTTGTATTGTACAATATCATCATTGTTTATATCCAAACTTTTAACTGCATATTCAATTTCCAGCTGCAAGAAAAAATAATTTGTAACAATTCTAATAGTACAGAATAGCTTTCCATCCTGGGCCAAAGTGGTGGGCTTGAGCTGAGCAAAATCAATGATCAAATCAAACGCTTCATACCTTATCTGAAAAGCTAACATAGTTAGGCCATCTTCCCGAACAATAGTTGAAAGGTGTAAAAGGGGGACAAAAAATTCCTGCTTCTTATCAGTGATGATTGCAATTACCCAAACAATTATAACGACGGTATCACTGTACTATTAATATAAACCCAATTTACTTGTCATGTATATTTGAACCAACAACATTAGAATAAAGGTCAACAAACCTATCACTGCAGCAAAATTAATTTAATCTAATAAAAATAATAGAAATGATCACGAGTCACAGATTGTGATAAATTGAATATAAATCTCAAAGAAAACACTTGAAAGAAAAGGATAAAAATCGAATTAGTGTACACATGTGAGCTTGGTATCAATGGCTCCATAGCAGAAGATGCCTAGACCACTATAGGTATAAGGAGAAAAAACAGTTTCTTATGTACTAACAACCAACCTCAGTTAATGATGTGTGTTCTGCGAGTACATTTCTCAAATCTGATATGTTTGCACCGATTCCTCTGTTATCCAATGCATTAACAACATCTATTATCTTAACATGTAAAGATTCGAGTGATGTGTTCAAAACTCTGATTCCTCTCATCAAAGATGCTTCCTAGGTTAAATATACATAGCATGCCCAAATGTTTGATATTCTCTCCCAACATTTATTTCAACAGATACTTTCATGCCAAGTTATGAACTAAGAAGTAAATTATTGATAGATTTCTAGCGGTTTTTAAAATTATAACTTGGCAGTTTAAAGCAAGTTTTTGGAACTATTAGACAAACCGTTTGTTCAACTTGATCCTGTCCTTCATGCAATAAAGTGATTTCTTTGCTTGAAGTTGTTTTCAATGTTCTGATCTGTTTTAGTAAATCATCATTCAAAACGACCTCTCTGATACTGAGTGTTTTAAGCGTCTTCTCTTTGGATAATCGTTGAAGAAGTAACTAATGAGATGAATAAAATATGCTAATGTTTTGAGCGGCACATGTTAGTAAAAAAAGATTATCGAGGATACATATTACTAACTAGAAACATCTATGTATAAGACTTCTTTAATATGTGAATATTTTGTTGCTGCAGTTTTGCTATCTATTGGGCTTAATTAATCTGAAATGCCATACACATACATTTTCATATTAAGCTGTATATAGATTAATATATATATCCCGGGAAAAAGGAAAGCCGATGCTTAATCATATAGCAAACCACACCCTCTGGTCCGGTTATCAGTCCATGTCGGGTATGGAATTAGTGAGCATTTGTTTCAGATGTTTGGACTTGATACATAGAGGAAGCCCGAACCAACCAGCGGTTACTTAAACTACCCCATGGCGTCGAGGATTCCAACAATCTTCTCGTACATAGTTATCCTCACAGGAATCATACCTGCAAGCCCATGCAGGGTATTCAAAAAATACAATCTTTCACCACTGGAAATTTCCAATTGGTCCAGCAATTGGAGAGAAAAGCAATTTTCTCGCAACATGAAGAAGAAAAGGAATACCAACAACAAAATGATTATCAACAACAACATATTAACTAAACTGTCCATATGAAGACTTCCTGTTCATTAACACATTTTTACTCAATCAGCTCACTCTATACCTTAATTCCACGAACACCAAGTGGATTTCTATCAAGGTTCAAATATTGCAATCCACATTTTGTTCTTCCCATTTTTGCTTTCTTTTTCTTCCTTGTCATTATCATTCCACCAGACACTCCGGTCGCTAGTTGTTCGGCTCCATATCCACATATATGATTTACAGCAAGAGATAAAAATCTCAAAGTTGAGTTTTCTCGCAAAGCATGACCAAGTAAGACTGCTCCGTCATCTCCCAACCCATTGTAAGATAAATCAAGGCTGAAGAGTGTTGTGTTTTATCTATAAATATAAAATAATCACCAATCACTGATTGATAGAAAAATACACACTGCATAGGCTGGAGATAGTACTATTCAGATGTACAGATCAAATATATGTTATCAATTTAATTATAGATAACCATAAACAACCTTTAATGCAGGCATTTTCAGAACTTTAAATACTTTTCATCAAATCAATATGTTTATCCCTGGAATAAAGTGACCAAAAAACACAATTGACTTCGTTTTAAAACACAATGCCTTCAAAATCCTATCCATACTTCAACATTTGAGTGTAATTATATAAAAAAAATTCTTATTTGAGGTTTCAGATGACAACACAAAACAAAATACATGTACAGTAGATAAAATTCAACTTCTTACATCAAGGGCTCTTGCAATGGCAGCAGCAGCTCTTTTACATAAACTATTCCATGATAAATTTAAACTTCTCAGAGTTTTGTTATCCATAAGTGCAGCAGAGAATGCTTCACCTAAATATTATAAGAGAATAGTTTAATACACCATCCTTTTTATTTACCTTTATATAATTTATCGAAGGTAATACAATACATGATACAATACGATTCAATTGAATACAATTTGTATACTTCATTAAGCAAATTAATACAGAACACAATTGGTTAGATTTCAGACATACACTTGGGAGCAAGACAACCTAACAGCCATTTGAATGTAACTAAACTAACGAAAACTCCAATCCAAAAGATCTGATCTGTAATGGTAAAGCGACCATTTCAATGTGGTTGTTAGGATGGGATAAGATTAACACGTTTGTCCAGGGGAAGAGGAAAGAGATAATATGGCTCAATCATATGGCCAACAAATGAACATGCTAGTATGGAAGCATTGAAAACGGTTAACAGCATTTATATAATATAGCATTTAATTTACTTTTAAAATGACTATGACAGACACCAATGTTCACAACACTCTTTGTTCAAACTAAATGACAAGCAGCAAATGAATGAAGTTAAATCCCAAAATTACCTGCATTATCACCAAGTTGATTATGACTGATATCTAGTGATTTTAATGATCTGTTGACTCGCAGAACTTCAGCAAGTAATAGTGCTTCCTATATGATAATTGAGATGACATGCAAAAAAATTTATGAGATGATGTGATGGATAATGAGATACCGGTATGTGAGATTTAAAACGGGATGAAATGAATTCAATTAAAAAGTTGAAGACATTGAAATAAATAGCAACCCATACCTTATCTCCAAGTTTATTTTTTTTCAAACACAGTGTAGTCAAATGTCGATTATAAAGTAACATTTGAGCCAAATATCTTCCTGCATCACACTGAAGACAATTTGAACTGAGATCAAGTCGATATACTTGACGGTTCTTCCTGAAATTGTTATGCAAAATTCAAAACTAGGCCAGTTTTGCTGGTAAAAGATTTGTGTTTTATGAATTTATACTACAAAGTGATGCTTTCCACACTGGATAGGATAGGATTTTCATATTTATCCTGAGAGAAAAATCGTTAGGACAGCTTAAAATACTTTACTGGTTATTTGTTTTAGATGAATGGACTTGATGGTAGAGTAAGTCGTAACCAGCCCACACAGTGTCAAGGAGTCCAGCAATTTGTTTTGATATATATATATTATATCAGGCTATTGTGATTGAGAAACATATGCTATGAGTTTAGAAAAGTTGACCCAGTTATATTCTGGTTTGAAGAATAGCCAAGCATCACCTTTAACTCCAATCTGCTTTACCGTCATTCTAACGATTGAGTCATGACACTCAGTCAAATTACTTGAACATCAAAATTATTCAAACATGCCAATGCGTATCCATGGAATTCGTAAAGTAAGGTGGTTGTTTTGAATATGGAACATGTTTTTTTTTCTAACAAGATATTTTGTATTTTTGAATATTTAATATTTCTTTTGCGGATTTTTTCTCAGATAGGTTAGGACTTAATCAAACTGGGTCCATCTTACAAATATCACTGATAATCTTGCCTGACTGTATACTACATTCTTTGATACAATGAATGGGAAAATTGAGTTTTGTTAACTTTTTCAATCACTGATATAGCAAACATAGGGATATGGATATTTAGGATAGGATAGGATTTACATATTTATCGCGGGGGAGGGAACCTTATATTGGGCAATACTCGGTAACGTTCAATCAAAAATGCATAAATTAAATCTAAGTGTGATTGAATGTTTGAACACATTCTATTTCTGAAGTTTATGGTTCAAAGTAATACAAAGAGCCCTATCAATAGAGTGAAGTGTGTGGTAAACCTCAAAACAAATAATAGCTCACGTTGTTTTGTGGATTTTATGATCAAATCTTCAAATTACAAATGGCGTGCACTGACGCGTATTAGAATACAATTAAGACTGTTTTAACAATAGATAATCCACGAATAGGAGGGATCTAGGGACGCAGACAAAACATTGAAATCACAAAGGATCAAAAGATAACCAACAAATCTCTTTATTGAAAGTTGTGTTTAGAACAATCAAAAAAACAATACAGTCAAACCTCCCACATCACGATTATCTATTGTCAGTTTATAAACCCCTATCGGGCTTAACCAAACATGAATTAATGGTGAGATATATATATTCATTGCAACCAGCTCATATTGTATCCAAAACCAAGTATGGCAAATGCTAACAGAAATATCTGAAATTTTGTATCATATTTCTTTCATAATTAATTTAAACTTTTACACCATTGTTTACCAACAAATCGTATTATCCAAACATCAGTAAGAAATAATATTTAGTCAGACAATGTACAACGATAATCTTGCTTAAAACAATGCTATATCAGCGTCGCCATGCCAAACCATAACGAAAAAAGGAAATTTCATCGGTCGGGTAGAAGTGCGACCCTGGTTTATTAAATCTAGTCAATATGTTTTGGCAAAATATCAAGATTGAAACTTAATATATTTTCAACTTTTGAGTTTTTCTAAAAAAATTAGTTTTTAACAAATTTCGTGTTAATACTAATCTTTTTCAAAAAATGGTTATGAAATGAATATAAATTCACTATTTGGTAAAATTTCATTTTGTCTTTGATTTTATAATTCAAACTAATTCTTCAGATCATACATGTTTTTCAAGCATTGAAATTTTTCAGATCAAGGAGGAAAAGTTATGTTTAAATAGGGAAACAATATTCTTTCTACTTGCCTCATCATTTTAGCAACATGTTGTCCACCTCTGTCACTTAAACAGTTATCAGATAAATCAAGATCTTCAATGAAATCATTGTTTTTTAAACCATTTGCAAGAGCTTCACTATCTTTTGTGCCAATGTACCTGAAAAGTGTTTTATCATATCAAGACAAATGAAAAGCGCATGACAGCACATATTGAAATTTCCTATATAATCAGATTTGTTAATTAAAATCAAAAACAATATTTTCGATAAACAAATTTGTAAATAAATACTTTCACTTTGAATCTTCAATATTTCAATTTTAAATTTCATTTCAAATTCTTACCTGTGATTTAGTCTGAACTGAATATGTTTGTTCCCAAGTTTTTCTACAACCTGACGTGCAGGCACAGTACCTTGAATAAATAAAAAGAAAAAATGACTACATTTAATAATGATAAAGTAAAATATGTGTTATAAATATTCATTAAACTAATATCTATTCTGCTTGAATATTCAGAATCGTGGTAATTGCCACCAGAATCTTCAAAAAGTTATCTCATTAAAACAAAATAATATGGCCACATGTACTCAAAGGCTCAGAGCACAAAATTTCAACTTGAAAAATTTGGTACAGTTGAATATCTCAATAAGCTGAGAGTGTGGTTGTAAACAGAAAGTACCTTTAATTTTACACAATTTCTCGTAGTGCCAAATTCCTGTTGGATCATAAGGTTCGTGTTCTTCAGTATAATAAGCATCTTCCAAATCTGTGTCATATTCATCAGAGTCAGGATCCAGGCCATTTAGGAAGTCATCAAATGTCATTGACGATTCAGGACGTTTCACTGAATCTCGACTAAGAAGCTTTGAACGAACCCAGTGCCAGTCAGTTGTTGCTGTGATTTAAATGTATACGCAACCGTGGTTGAGTTTTTAGGTTCAGTGCCCACCACCTTACCCAGGGTATAACAAATTAAGTAAACAACCAGAAAGCTTCCAGTACTAAAAATAGCCTTATATAGACTTCAATATCAGTGGTTGCGTGTGCAGAGCCTTGGTTGTATTGTAGCCAGTATGTTTCTTGACTTTTCATTTTAGGACGGGGATGTTTCGAAATTTAGTTGGTGATATATATTTTACTAATAATAATAAAACTATTTGTAACTAGACCTGACCATCTTCACTGGTATTATATATGATGATACTTTCTAGAATTATATCTACTCCCTACAATTATATTCCAAGTTGAGAATTAAAGTGTAGTGTCACACCTTTAAATTAAGGCGGTGGGGGTGCAGGGGGTGGATGTAGGGAAATCACTGCGGGCAAAAGACATGGAAATATGTTATATAGAAAAATTTCTCATAGTTCCATATATTCCTCCCGACCTAAAAATGCCTATGTGAAATACTGACTTGTCTAGTTGAGTCTGTATTACACTATACACATATATGTTGAAAACTAATTTCAATGATCTTTTGCATTTTTCAAATTTTATGTTGATTGAATAGGCAAAAGCAGCCTAGCCTGCAGTTATATTGATCAAATTTTGTACTGAAGTTTTTATTATTTTTTCATACTTAAAAACTCACATGGTCTTGCTTGATGCAAAGGTTTAGCAACTGGTTGATATTTTGGTCTTGTTAGTAAGTTTGGATATTGTGGTAAAGTTTGTTGTCGAGGTGTCATCGGAGGCCTAGCTTCCCAAACATTTTCAACTGTGGTATTCAAGCTCGAGGCTGTTGGTGGTGCTGAAGCACAATAAATAGGATCTTGCGCAGATATTTCATTTTCCTCAATCCCAATACGATCATCATTATCCTCATTTCTTTCAACACTCGCTTCTTCTATTGTAATTTGTGGAGGCTGGCGCATCATTGGCGGGGCTGAGGATGCAAGGCTTCTTTTACCTGAAAATCTTTTTCTTTCAGGTGCTGATCTCGCATTCTCCCTCGACGTCATTTGTTTCCAAGGTGAGGATGATTTCATAAGCATCAACTGTTGTTTGCAGACATTACGCTTTGCAGCTCGACTTAGGACCGTCATGGCACGCTCGGATATAAACTCAGATGTTTCTTCTCTGGAAAAATGGTCCCCGAACGGACCATAACTTGATGATTTGATCATGTAGCTCAACATATTTAATAATAAACAATAACACAGATACACGGGGTACTTTTAGTTATAGCATATATATACGCCACATTCATATAACGCAGAAGACGACCTTCAGTTGATGCCGCATACTTCATGCGAGACGTACGCGACGACAAAACTTCTGAAATGATATTTTAAGTTTGTTGATACACATGCGTCACCTAGCGAGGTACTTTTGACTACAAACGGTGATGTTTAAGGGAATTCCCCATTTCTGCAGCTTTCGAACTTCGCGATTGAAATACGCCGGTTTGCTGGTTTTGTGTGTTTGAAGTTTGGTTTTCCCCGTTTAATTTCGTGCATTTTAAACCGCTAGAAAATATTTAGATATTGGCACCGGTAATAATTCTATCACGTCGTTAGTAAATCGATATTCAACAACTTTCTGTTATATTTAGTGTAATATTATGGTTTCTTTCGACCCATGGCCCAATATGAAATATATTCGAAAATTATTAATATTTCCAGATTTAGATTCGAGGAAGGAAATAACCAAATTTGTTTGCGTAATTTTTTGTCAAAATATCTGAACTATTTTAGTTGAACATTGATTTTAAAAATTTAAAGCTTCAAATTTGAAGTCTCCCTGTTCTTTAGACGATTATGCTGATTAATTTCTTATTTTTAAGGGCATACTTCGTTGAATTTTGACAGACTGAGGGTTTGTCCGAATGTGACCCACAAGTGGGGTACAGTGGAACACTTGACAGACGTTTTTCAAAGCATTTTGGTAGTAAGATGTGTGTCGCAAGGGAATTTCTTAGTCGCTGAATAAAAACTACATTTACCCCTCTATGCATTAGTCCCGCCAACTTAAGTGAATATGCAGAATTAACGGCTCAAAATATGCAAAATAAAAAAAGTGTCCCAACCTTTCCTATGTGGTTTGAACTTGAATGAATAACTTTGCAACAACTGTAACGTTTATTTAATCATGATCACCACTAGATCAAAATTTCAATATATTGATGTCGACATTCCGTTCCTCCCAATGTCTCAAACATAATATGTTTATATAGCAGAATATTGTAGTTTTTTTTGTTAAGTTTATTGAATGAAATGGAAACTAGAGGTTGGAAATTGCTTACTTGTGATAAAGGCAAAACGAAGTTTCTTATCAAGTTGTTTCTTATCAACTGTCAGGATAATTCTTCATACAATCTTATCATTTGCGATTTGGTGAATATCTGGGAAGAATCCCTTTCAAACGATGATATAAAAATAAGATGCAAACAACTTAATCGAAGATTAGAAGCACCAACACAAAGTATTCTTCTACATATTCAAGAAACATTGCTTCATCATACTACAAATGTTTTTACGGTTGTTGAAACATCAAAAGAATTAGTTACCATCAGCCTGAAAAATTCATTTCAAGAAGGAATCCCGTTCTTATGGGAATTCACTTGCAAAATGGTCCAAACTCAAATGAGCATTGAACTTTTTGTTGAACCTTTCTTGAAGCTTGTGGCAAGTTTACAATGCTCTAATGATCAACTCATTAAGGTTATAAAAAAGAAAGATGCAGAAATTCGAGATTATAAAGAAAGTGGATCAAAAGTTTCCAGACCATATTTGGAAACTTCAGAATTTGATTCAGAAGCTTTTCGGAAAGATGTAAGACAGACTTCAGAATATGTAAGTGCAATTATCAAAGATAGTTTTATGATTGCCACTGATGATTCCATAAATCTGAAACTAGTTGATGTGGAAGCGGACGCAAAAAGTCCTCCATCCATAAGTAACTCATCTTCTTTATCAGGAGTTGCAAATACAGATTCTCCTGTGAAAAGAGCAACAGCTAAAATAGTTGGACACAAGAAGAACAAAATCATTCGGGGAGGACGAAGACAACCAATGGGGGTCGAAGTTTTGTCTGATTCTGATAGCGATGTAGATGCAAAGCCTACTCCTCCACCAGTGAAGAGAGCTTCAAATCAGGAAAAAAAGAAGGCCACAAAGAAGAAGAAAGTCATTGACAAGAGAAAAAAGCTCTTTTGATAAAAACCTTAAATGTGTTTAAGATACCATCCTTCTAAACCTTTGTGCTCAAGTGTAAAATGAGAATAGCTTTTTTTAACTATTCTTCAGGTAATTTTTGATAATAAACATATGAAACTATTTTTATATCTGAAGAGGTCACTAATCTTCAAGCAAGTCGATCGATTACTGCAATCAAAAAGTTACTGAAATGTATTTGCACGAGCAGTGAATGCCTAAAACACTTGGAAATGTTAAAATATTAATATTTATTGTGGTCAAATAAGTTGTTGCAGAATGTTCCACATAACATCAATTACATAATATTTCGAACAAGTTTATAGTTGTTTTAATTACACAATTGTCATACTTAGTATAATTTGCAATAAATCACTTTAATAAGAATGACTCTCAGATTTTTTTTTAATGTGTTAGAATTTATATTTACTGTTGCATAGTGACTTACATGGGATCTAGGCAGAATGTTTTTTTTATTTAGATGATACTTGAAGTCAAATTGACTCGGATTAGAAATTCACTCTCATAATCATTATAAATTACAAAGAATGGGAGATCTCGAATATTCATCCTGCTAAATTTCCATAATAACCACAGACTTTTTGTACTCATCTTATGACTTAGAATAGCTGTAATTGTTCCCATTTCCAGTAGACAAAGGGCAAGTCTTGGCATCTTTACTACGCTGCTGCTAAGAATCAGTTTGTATCTTTGAGAAAAGAAAGACAAACTTTACTAGGTTTCCTGATTAGAGCAAGTTCAAATGGCCTCGCACAATTTGTTTCTTTCCAGGTGGTATATCGACAGTTTCACGATCAATCCAGCTATAGAAATTTTTTCACATATACAACCTAGTGATAAATCATTTTTAAAATATATGTTCGTGCAAAGGCTATCAGCATTCCAGCTAAAATTTTCTCGAGCCTTCATGCTAGCTTTTTCAATGAATTTAAAATTTCAATCGGATTAATTGGGACATATGTCAGTTATATTGAGCTGATCACATTTCCACTTTCCTTGCAAGTGGTTATTGACTGTACGAGTCCTGACTTGTTTTCAGCATCCCACAAACAAAATTGAGAGCTGTTCTATTACCTGAACAGAGTATATGCTACAAACATCAATCATCCTGAACCAACTGTCCCAAACTTGAGTTTATCAGACCAAGTTGTAACTTAGTACCATGTTCGCCATTTATTATATTTCTTTGGTTAAAAGATTCAAATTAAATCAAGAATTAAAAATAAAATTACACACAGAGCTATATATAAAAACACCACAAATAACAATAATTACCTAAATATAATTTTCGAAATCTAAATGATTTTGCTACAATTAAAACACCAAATTTGCTTCTGTTGACAGGCACAGTGCATGTTGTGTATTCTCATTAAACCTTTTCTCCCAGATGTAAATAAGGCCATACTCCCCCAAGCAGCTGAAAGATATAACATCCACTATTATTAAATGATAATTGGAGAAAATAACACACCAGAATAATAGTTAACAATACAATGAAGAAGTTGGAGCAATGCGTTTGGCATGCACAGAGTCTGTTGGCCACTATTCCCAGAACCAAAATAAATACTTCGAGAGATTATGAATTTCAATTAGAAAATAAGCATTGATAAGTCACATGCATATCGCATCAGATATAAGCCATATGTATTGTACTAATGTATATACTTACAAACTCTGAATTTGCTCTATGACCGATTTTAACGAAGGGCTAGTTTATTGCATGTATTTTATCTAAATACTGAATTTTGATACTCTTGTCTATCTGAATTTTGTTTCGTTAATAATTGTCATTTTCACAGAAATGTTTGTTACCTTTATCGAACTCTCTCTCTTGAGATGCAAAGTCCTGGCATATGCCGAAACCAAAATGTGTAGATAAGTGCCAGTGCCAGTAAGTAAATGCCACCATGCATGAAGTTGGGTTACAGGTCCAACTGCAGGGTGCAGATGATTTTTTCTAGTATGTCTGTAAGGAAAACAGAAATTATTACCCGCTGGTCATACAATTTCTTTATTATTTCACCCTTCTTAAAGCAAAGTAAGTTTTATATACAATATTGTATCTGAACGGGATGTATGCTGTAGCCACCACATAGAACGTTCGAGCACATTATCATAAATCAGTGATTGTCAACCGTTACACTGTGGAACATTGGGTGTTCTGTAAGCGATTTTCAGGTTTCCCGCATCAAATTTGAGTCATAATTTATTGGTATTTTCACTATATTATTCCCATGCCAAAATAGATGAGAAATTTATAGTTAATCGGATCTTTTATTTCTAAAAAATCTGAATTTTGATTGGGTGTTCCGCAGGCAATTTATGAACTAAAGCGTTCCATGGACCATAAAAGATTGAAAATCATAGTCAGAGCTAAAAATAAATTGAAATGCACTAAAGTAATATAATCAAAATAAAGCCAATGTGACTTCCACTTTCGATCAACTACTGTCCTGGGACCAAATTGCACCAGTATTAATCAATTTTGAGAGAAAATCTTCCCAGCTCTCAACTTCACTCGACTCACCTCAACGAAGAGCAGAAGTTGTTGTCTATATTCCACAGTATAAAGCCAGATGCATAGATAACAAGGGAAACTCCAGCCCAAGGTATGATTTCTGGATGGTTTTTGCATGCCTTGAGTGCTTCATAGAGGAGGTAGAATACTAAGAATCCATAACTAGACTAAAATAACAAAATATTTGAAACAAAATCCTTATTGAGTTATGCCACCAGAACGAACCAGCGTACGTACCATCCGCAGTTCCTACATTACCACAACTTGAAAGGAATTTACATAGTAACTATGGCAATGTTCTGCAGGAAAGGTCATTTCATCATAAAATCTATTTTTATAACAGGGTTTAGATGTTAAATATTCCTATGAAACGTTTGTTTTCACTACTAAAAATGTTCAATCAGCAACAGCTCTCCATGAGAGAATTTACAATAAATTAATAACAGTAAAGGTCATTCTGTATTCCTAATTCATGACACATGATGAATTATCTCCAAAATATTATATCAAATTGTTTAATTTAATGATCACCGCTAGGCCAGCATTTTTGAGGATTGGCTCCATCCTGATGAATAATATTGTGAAAATCATGCCGCACAAGATCATTTGCATTCAATTGGCATTAATACGCATGTAAAAAGTGAAGCATAATGAAAATGAACTCAGAACTTCAAGAGTAGAAAACCTTATCACATGCAGCAATAATATAAATGTGCAGCAACTAAGTACATATATATAAATTATTAAATATATACATATGTATGTTTCGTAAGAAAAGATATCTGACCACCTTGGAAATAGCATATGGCTCAAGCCGCCAGCTTTGAAATACAATAGTCCTGCGCATTTCATGCACAGACACAATAGCACCATCTAGGAGGTAAAGACTGTTTCAAGCAAATAAAGTTTTGTTGGGGGTAGAAAAAAACTGGGCGAAATTTCAATTCACAAATTATATTTTATTGATGTTAGCAATGGTGGCCAATAATTTCTATTTTTTTCAATGTATATTATATCATCATATAAAAGATAAATCATCTTTATACACAAACACATCACTAGAGACGCGAGTACGAACCTCGTGAAACATTGGATTTTTCCAGTAGAGGTAGACAATGGTAACAAAAATACATGTTAAAATCAGTGCAAATACATATGTGTAGTCTCGGTGATTTGGTTTGTGTGCATGGTGATTCCTGAAAATATGGCATATTGTGAAGGAAAATCTGCCACCGTTGTCAAATGCAATAAAAGCATGCTGATTAATCGTTAAGCACTGGAATTATTATTTGGCCTAGATGCCTTAAGATTCATGGGCACAAAGTGTAGCATGCCAAGTCATCAAATTAAATCTGTTTAATATTCTTTTGTCATTTTCGTGATGATTTTGAGCATCTCAAATCACACAAGTAATGCAACTAGAGCAGGGGTTCCCAAACTGCGGCCCGCGGGCCAATTATTGCCTGCGTAACGATTTAAGCGCCCACCAAACTCAAGTGAAATAGTTTAATGGTTAAACTTCACTCGTAATTAATACTAATACGTTTAACACTTTCTGTGTTTCCCATTTTACGTTTTAGATACCGCCAATTGTTACATCATTATCACAGTTTAAGCACGTGTATATTCATTGTTATAACAATGAACACTATTTTAGTGTCTGTTTTTCAAATTCAAAATTGCCGATCCCCTTTTCTGTCTCGCGAATATCCTTCTGCTTCGAAATTTGACCCGCGGTCAATCAACTTTGGGAACCCTTGAACTAGAGAATTAATATTATTTCATTTAAAAATAGAAATGCCTATAATATGGTTCCTAATTTGGCCACTCTAAAAAGGGCTAGGTCATCATACAGGCAGCACGGAGGCGTAATTTTATAGCAATCCAAAAAGACATACCACAAGTCAACCAAATTTTTGTAACCGAAATTAGGCGGGTGCAAAACATGGTTGAAATTTGATACAGACGCTCTAAATAAACGATTGAAAGTGACTGAAAGAGAAATAAAATTATTGAGCAGACTTGAAAGCAGCTAAACTACATAGCAGGAAGCTCATTGCGAATGAAGCAATGTTCAAAAAGATTCACACATGCAGAGGTTTATGCACATCTTATCATGTACCAATCTCTCATCTATACCAATATGCTTTCAAAATGGTATAATCTCTAAAGTTACAGATATGCATGGAAGAGGAATGGATAATATTTTCCTGGGTTGCCCAATTCTCACCATAAACCGAGCAAGATAGCTCGAGGCGATAACCAAATGTACCACAAAACACTTCACCAAAGCATCATACATGCACATTCAAGGCGAGTCAATCAGTGATAAATCAGTTACAGAAACAGAAAGTAACGTATCCATAAGGATTTCAGTAACACATTTCTAAACAAGAGTTGTATGAATAATGTAGTAGCTACAAGAGATACAAATTCCACCACACACTGTAAAATTTATTGCAAGACATAAAAAATTTACATGCTTTCTCATATACATTTCAACAAACCGATATACTCACAAAGCATAAAGAAAAACGCAGGAACCGTAGATCATAGGCAGTTCATCCAGTAACTAAAATACACATTAATGAAATAAGTAAAACTACATTTTAATCTTCTAGAATTTAGAACATAACAAGGCCAGTAGAAATATTAGAGAACAATCTGGAAAATTTGACTGAATAGTACTGGGTTAATGACAAAATATTTGTGATAATTGTTTTTCAAAATAATATATTCGGTGATACTTATTGGTATATAAAATTTTTATAAGAGGAAATGATTTAATGAATATTCTTTGACAATCATACTAAAATACTTGTCAATTCTCAAAATAAAATACGAGATGGTATGACAAACAAAAAATGCCGTTTATATATTCATCAATAAATATTGAATGAATCCATATAAAAATGATTTATATTTAACCAAAGACATTCTGAATCGTGCTTCCCGAAATATGATAACGATCAAGTAAATTTAACATTTGAAAATAGTAAAATTCAGAATAGCACATATGTTCACTGTATTCCGTAATATTGCTTGGAATAATACTATATGCATTTTCATAGAAAGACTTCAAGAGATATTCAATTGAGATACAGTTATTAAAATACCTCAAAAAGTCACAAAGACCAAAGCTTCAAAGACCAAAATTGAGAAAAATATACATGCAATGCAGGTGAAATACTAGGGAAAATATAGTATTAGCAAGCGAAAGGGTATATGGCCAAATGTGCTGTTTATCACATAGAAGATTGTAAGTAATCTCTTATGCAAATGATGATTCAGTTAAAACAACTATCCAGAGATAATAAATATACTTTATATGGAAAACCATATAGATTCTGAGGTTTGGAACATACGAGCACTGTTACTGGAGTAAACAATTGTCATAGGTCAAGAGTAAGAGAACCATTCTACAATACCAAGATCTCTTATACAATATTTTGCTGTATGCAAAAAAGTGACTAATCTGGATGCGTGGTTCAATACTTTTTACTTACAGAATAGTAAAAAAAGAAAAGATCATACAAAGTTGTAATAAAGTAAATGTGTGAAACAAATCCTAAAAAAGAGTAGTGTGTGAATAAAAGCAAAAATGTCATACATGAACCAAAATATTATTTGAAAACCTTACATTTGGTGGCACTCAGTACTAGTTTCTAGGTAGAGTTGTTCAAAATTTCATCGGCCTGTGCAAAATACCTTCTCTCCCTGTCTTACTACTCGATTACAAATACTTAGATAGATATCAATCTGCTTCTGTTACTCGATACATGAGTTTGCTAAATTCATTGTTCCATACCATAAGTCATTGTAGTAAAACACCCTGGTGCAAAACAGCTGATATCTTGTTCTAAAATCAATACCCCTGTTTATTCATTTCTAAAGCTACGACTGTATTCGATAGTGCATATTGCGTAGCCTTCACTGCATCTCACATTTCATATTTTTACAAGGGCCATAATCTCTCAAGACACAGCAGACAAAATCCATATGATAAGAAACCTGGGCCCATACTCCAGGTGAAGATCCACAGGGTTTTGGACCAAAACTGGTGTCTCCGTGTAAAACCCATGCACCGTCCTCATATTGACATACTAAAGGCCCACCGCTATCCCCCTGGCACGTTCCCTGATTGCCTTTGTGAGGTCCTGCACATACATGAACATCATAATTTATTTTTCTGCCTCCATATTTTTTGATGCAATTTGATTGTGATGTGACAGGTTGCTTGACTTGTTTTAAAACTTTATCAAATCCTGTGCCACTGGTTAATCCCCATCCGGTCGCCCAGCAACTGTAATTGAAAAATGTATGATAGTGACATTAAAAAGCATTTTAGAAATATCTGTAGTACATGGGGCGCCCAGGGCAAGATTCTATTTTATCCCAGTAAAACGAATTCATGCGCCAATGTATGGTCTCTTGCATAGTTACCAGTTTCGACCACAAAAGTCGTAAGGAATAAGTTTATTTGTTTCCTCCAATAGAAAGATACAAAGTTGCTGGCTATGACTAACCAGTTGCCAAAACAACCATTTCACCCAGTAATGAGTGATTGTTGCAATATTGTCATTTTTTATGTCATTTTACATGTCTTTTTTACTCTGAGTAAGATTCTCTATAAGAATCCACTGGACTGATATATAAGCATGAAGCATCTACTATTGAACGGGCCAGAATCTTTCCGGTTCAGACTTTGAAGTCCACAGACAAATAATGAATATAGCATTACCATGTTAAAATAAATTTAAACAATTATATAATTAGATTAAAAGCACATACTTCTTGCCGACATGAGGCCTCAGTTTGGGTTGAGGTAAACACACAAACCCTGTCATGGGTGAAATATCATTTGGATCCACAATTGTTTTTAAGATAATAACTGTAATGTCATGAGCTGGTATTTGCTTTAATCTTGTGAATGTTGCCATATTATTATCTGGATGGTGATGCAGTGATTCTATCTCAAGCATTCTGCATTAGCAAGAAATAAAAATAATAGGTTAGTTGGATTGTTCAAATAGAATATGCTGTGTATGAGTTAAATTAAAATTCAGACTCAGATTTAGATTTCATGTTAACAAGATTAGCTTCTCCTGACAAATTACTTGTCAAACGTCAAACCTGTGTCATGTGTGGCAGGATGAAAAAAGTTTGAAAACTACTGGCCTAGAAAAACAGCCACTAAATCTACTATTTTGCATATAACCAGTTTCAAATAGATTCAACGATACTGACATTTTGGACATTCCACGTAATAACCAGATATTGAAAGCCATTGTATAATAGTAATAATACATACTTTGCTCCATGACTTTCTCTGCCTTTGTCATGAGCACCAACCAAAACTCTATAGCGATCTTTATCTTTGCTCACACTTGTTCGTTTTTTATTCAGAAAACAATGTGATGCTGATATAACATATTTTGGACCGACAAGACTTCCTCCACAGATGGCTTTGACAGAAGCTGTATTTGCATCATATCGCTTGTATCTAAATTAGGATTCATTTTACATGGTGTATTTTTATTTGATATTTTTTCAACGAAAATCATGGATGAGTATGCTAGCCGAATTAGATTTTTCCAACCAGTAAAAAAAGCAATCATAGACAAATTATAAAAAAAAAGATAAGCATATATTTAAACTAGAGAAGGCAAGCTGCGGGACCTAAATATGGTTATCGAGCAGCGACACCTAAGGCTCTAATATCTAATTACGAAGAACAGAAATATTTGTTTGGAACTACGGTTATGGTCGTTGTCTACCTAACACCAGATGGACTGGTATTTGCCACCTCAAGTAGATTACTTTAAGTAAAATTTCTCCTGCTGTAGGTGGATTGTGCCACAGGAATCATGGGATAGATTTTCAAAATTTCATATTTATCCTGGGAGCGAGAAAAGCCGATTAGATGGCCAAATCATATTTGTACCATGGCCTCTCGACCGGTCAATTCTAGTGTTTTATTGATATGTGATAATCATAGTGATAATTACAAACAAATCCCTGACGGCAAGCAATCAATCACAACGATTTGGCAATTATCATATAAAATGTTTATGGTCAACCTAATGACCTCTATGCTTGCCCATGGTCAGGTCATGCTTTCTTAATGACAAATCCAAACAGGAGACTGACAGTCACATTGAGAATACTAGGAAATGAAATTAACAGAATATCATAGTGATTATTAACGTCTTTCTTTAGCACTATTTTTCACAGAAACTGTGGATGATAAAAATCGCTATAAGCTAAAAGATTACAGAGACTGAAGGTTGAATTACTTCATAATATAAGATAGTAAATATTTAAAGACTTATATAAACAATTACAGGCCATTGCGACATGACACGAGTTCGTTTCAAAATTTCACATTCTGCCTGAAGCTCAAATCAAGAATTACATAAACACCAGGGGTTTGATATATGAAATTCAGCTCTTAAAATTTTATTCATCCATAAATATTAAAAAATTTGACTCTAGATTACAACTGCAGAACCTTGATGTCTTTTGTTTTATTTTTGTTTTTCTATGAGATATTATTTCCGCTCAAATATTGCCTGCAAAGCAAGCCCCACTATTGTCTATTACCAAATCTGACCATGTGGCTGGCTTCAATTGTTAAAAATGTCAACTTCGAGACTATCATAATTGTAATTGAGAAGCCAAAATCTTGTAATGAAACAATCAGGAAATACCGTAGTTCAAATTAAAATCACTAATTTCCGCTCAGCAACTTATCTATAAAAGTGTACGAATGCACAGGAAGTGGTGGGTGCCCTTCGCCAATAAAATTTTCCACATGATTCCATTTGGAACAACATTTTCTGGCCCTTTTTGTAATAATTCGATGACCAAAAGACCTCTCATTACTGTTGAAAAATACTTTTTGATTTCTGTTATTAATTATTCCCAAATATAGGTTTACCAGTGCTCATAATAAAAATTATAAATACCAATGGCATGTTTCACAAAGCAATTATGAATTATACCTATTCTTCTTCCATGTTTAAAACAAGTACATCCTTGTGGATAACTTGAGATATCCAAAGTCATTGTTATTTCTCGAAGTGTGTACTTGAAAGCAAAGAAAGCCATATTCATCAGCGATTGTGTGCGAGGTACAGATGTGCGTTTATGGTATTTTCTGTCAATTTTGTTAATCTATGATATGAACTTTGGATAGATTTGAATTAACAAAATGGAAATCAGTTGAGCTTTCACTTCATTGAAATATTGAAAGATGGTTTTAAAATTTTAGGCAATCATTCAACCCCTTTCAGATATCCCTTCACGTTTTATACGACAAACAGAACATGATTATAATAATGATGTATGGTATGTAATGAAATCCAATTAAAAAATTAACTTACTGCAGAAGTCCTATTTGCCATGGCCATGAATGTTTGACAGCTTCTGTTCCACCGACAATTCTGCCGAGATTTGGTTTTTGTCTCGGTCTCCCACATTCCCCTCGCGCTTTGATCCATTTCTCATCTAACACCACAGGTGGTGGCGGTGTTGTAGTTGTGGTAACCTTCGGAACAGCTGTAGTTGTAGTAGAAGCCTTCGTTGGATTTATTGTTAAATCCGAGTTAGCAGATTCATCAGAAGCAGCTGTACTCATGAACACTCCGGCGCCTATTCCTCCTAAAACTACGATTACGCTTAAAACACCTCCGATAAGTTTACCACGAGATGTTCCTGCTTGATCTCTCTGAACTATTCCTCTCTGCATATTTGAAGTCTTGGGATTTAAAAGTTGGTTGCTCTGTCTCATTTTGGACTGTCTGCCTTGAATACCTCCTCTACCTCTTGTTGGATTACCACCTCTTCCTCTATCCCCTCTCCCCCTTCCTGGAACTGGTTTGGGCGGCATAATTTTCTTTTATACTGTTTGGTTTTTGAAGTCTGGTTTTGTCAATTTATTTAATATGTATTCCTTTTATTGGATCACTACAGAGCCTGAACAAAGGTACATACCATTGCAGATAAAATATTTTAAGATGGTCGGGTATCTGTGGATATATTTTCAGTGCAAATTTCAGTGAAAAAAGCATAAAACTTACAAATTATAGCGCTTTGATATCAAAAATAAAATATACAGATAAAACATTAATTTGGATATTCTATCAAACTGAATTAGAATTGACTTACTTGCATTTCATATAGCAGAGTCATATGGAAACACCATGATCCGACACCAACAACTATAATAGAAATATATCAGATATCAATATTATTATTTGCTTTTAAGAAGCATTGGTTTATTATTACCAGATATATTCAACTGAAGATTTAATAATAGCATAAAACTTTGATGTCCCCATACATAATAATCCTAGCTGTTTATTTGTAAATATCATCATGTATTTGCCTAATACTGCATTAAAATTGCAAAAATATTATTTTTAAATTTAATCAATAAAGTTCGTCAAAGGCTGCTATTTCCAAACATGCAGTGTGTTGCATTGCATGTTCTTTCTTAGAAATTTGACATTGGGGGCATCTTAGAAAAAAGTGAATATAAAAAATGTACCGTAAACTAAAAATATAATTTTGGATTGTTAGTAAACATATAACGTAAACGACCATACCCTACACAACTCCCAGATATGGAGAATATTTTACAATACTATAATTTATTACAATATTTTCTATAATTTTTCCATATAATTACCAAACATCAACATCATGATCAACCCTTACCTAACAAAGAAATTCCAGAAAGTATATGACGCAATTCGAGTCCCTTTTTCCAGAAGTAGTATGCACATACAGCAGGAGGAACTATCATAACAATGTTACTGATGGTGTTCCCTGTGTATAAAAATACAAATGTCAAGAAAAATTTGGCATAGAAAAATCAGTAATTCAGAGGTATCACAAAATTCCCAAAACTCACAGAATTCTGCGATGTAAGGAGTGACAACGTAGTTTTCTTCACACCAATCCAACGTTGATGTTCGTTTTCCCCACACTCCTTCCTTGTCCACAGATGTTGGTGCCATCAACCAGATAATTCAAAATTTGAAAGTGAATCTGTTCTTTGAAGAACAGAAATGCACACTTAAAAAAACTAGACAAAGTCCCACGTCTGCACGTATAGCAATAGAAACTGACAAAATAAAAATTCGATTTAATGAAATGATGCAGCTTCAATAAATTACAAATGCTAATTGAACAGTCCAACATTTGAAACTGGTTGATTATAAAGAATTTAAGATACTGCAACAGTTCACAGGCTAAAAACCTGGAACCCAATTGCTGACTTGCATGTCCTTGCTCGGATGGGTGAACTGACACTTGCAATTCAACAAGTTTTAGGCATTTTTAGAGGTTTTGCCACCCCCTGACTTTCCCAATCTTCTTCATGGTTTTGTGTATGTTCTTTAACGGGCCTCGTGAAGTACGGAAATAAACTAAACGTTGAAACTGCTTAAATAACGTCTAACACAAATGTGATGTGAAAATTAATGCCGTAAGTACTTAAATAACACCAAACGACCCCATATTTTCAGTGTTTTAAATAAAAGTCCTTTTGGCGCGAACGCAATGGGACATACCCGGTCTTACTACTTACTGAATTGAGCGTGAAACAGCGCAGAAGAGAGGGAAATATTTTTCTTTATTTATTAGCGTCTGTGAAATTTTAAACAATTTGATGGGAAACAGTATACAGTTGTAGGAATGATCACTAGGTTATATCAGTAATCTTCAAATAACCTAACATGACGCAATATGACTATGAGCACACCAATAAGCAAAATCAAAGAAGTTTTGGAGCTCCAGAAGTATGTGCACCAAGATGGCGCACAACCTGAACACAGTGTGTGTACCAGGTTAGGCCGGGTGCGTCATGTCGGGTTATTTAAAAGATGTTGAAGATTACTGATATTAACTTGTGATCATTCCCTACCACTGTATACTGTTTCCCATCAAATTGTTTAAAATTTCATGGACGCTAATAAATAATGAAAGAAAAATGTTTCCCTCTCTTCTGCGCTGTTTCGCACTCTATTCAGTATATAGCAAGACCCGAACATACCTGCTTAGTTGAAAATTGAGTGAGTTTGATTTGAACTAAACGTGTGTTTCAAGAACTTATTTCTGCGCTATACCGGTACTGCTATATGACTTTTTTTAATTACCATAAAATTTTTACATCACATTCTTGTGTGTTATAGGCTACAGACTTTTTTAATTACCGGTACATTAAAATTTTCACATTATATTCTTGTTTGGCATTATTTGAGCAGTTACGGCGTTCATTTCACTCCCCCGGGATAAATATGTAAATACTATTCTACCCAGAACCGCTTGTAGCCGTTGTAACGTTGCTGTGCGGTCGATTCCCGCATAACGTTCATTTGGCAATGCGCCACCTAGATCGCCTTTTTAGATAGTGTATTTTCCACCCATTCGCCATCTTGTTATAAAAATGTACATTGTTTGTTTTTCGCAAATAATTCACCGGCTCCTCATATCGTGTGTTTTAAATTTCCTCCATCATCAAGTCCATGCCTCTGGAAAAAAAATAACCGACCCCATACTCGACATAAACTCGTAACTGGACGAGAGGCCGTGGTTCGCCACATGTTTAAGCTGTCTTATCGGCTTTCCTCTCCCATGGGATTAATTAGTAAATCTTTCCTTGTTTATTGATTCATGAACCAAAATCAATTTTATACAAAGGCAAAAATGTAATAATAAAAAAACATTGACTGAGGGGGCGATATGACAATACGTTTATCAGAGTCAGCTGCACCCAATATTCACTGTTATATAAACATAATGACATCGGGATCAGGAAAACACGATAATGAAATGACAAAGAACGTAATGTAATAAACAGAATGTAATAATGCCAGTGCGACCCGTGTCTAATCATACTTTTCACTATAAAGGATTTGCTCCAGCAATTCTTTATTGGACACATCACTGGACATACCGTAACGATCGTTTTGCATTAGTATGCTTCTTCTAACCCTTCTTCTTCTGGTTGTTCTGACGATATTAAAAACTACTTTTCTCTTTGATTATTGGACCAATTGCTTTGATATTTTCAGTGGTTAAAGATTGATTTTTTTACCAGAAGGCTATTACTTTCACTTATTTTAAAAATTTCTGTGGACTTCAAGAAATTTGCTTTTCGTGTGTCAGAATAAAAAAATAGCGGCACCTTGTGACTTGTCCGTATATTCGAGCCAACGACTAACATACCGATTCGAGCATAGCTCTCTTGTTCTTAGGGACAATCTGTTCCATCTCACTTTTAAGTTATATCTTGATTAAAGTTACACGAAATGATTTTGGCCGGTATCTATTGTCATTGTGTCAATTAATTTGATAATTATTATGTAATGCGTGTAGCATTGGAAATAGCATTTCGAGCAAATCAATCATTCGAATTGACCAATCTAAGTGCCTGGTATAAGAACCTCTACCCATAAAATATAGACACATGTCAAAATAAAGAAATTTCTCAGAAATAAAGACAATATTTTCTATTACAAGAACTTTCAAAATAAGTACCAATCTTTAGAAATAAGGACGTTATGGCAGACCTGTATATAAAGGAGTATCGCGTTTTACCAACCTGAAATAAACGCATACTTGACGGGCGTTGTTAAACGCCTTTGATGGGATTTTCTCTGTAGCATATCTGAAGCTACTCTTGAAATAAGTCGTTGTGTATTGGCATGATCTTTTAGTAATAAATCTTATTAAACTTCACCTGGAACAGTTGCTTTATTTAGCATACGAGAAAATGAGTATTTCATTTAGACCAGAACTCCTCCGAGAGGCCTGAAAAAGTTCTGAAGTTGTTTTCTTTTCTATTTTTTGTCTTACAAGTAACAAAAGGGCATAGATTTCGCGGTCTACAACGGTGCGAGGAGCCCAGCAATCCTTTCCCACATATTTATCCCTACGGAATTCGAATCTGCAACCCAGGTAAGTTAACTTTTTTTGAACGCTTATTTCACACATTTATTTAACATAGGCTTTCTAGTAGTTGCACGCGTGGCATCTGTTGTTCGTCTCGCACAATCATTGCAACATCATAGACATAGATAATAAATTGGACTCTGGTGGAACCAGATTAAATTAACCTTTTTTGGGGGGCCGCAGGTTGCACACCCTTGGTTTACACGACGTAAATGGTGACGTGACGGTACATTACCTTGAAAAACTGCAGAATAAATTGAGACTGGTTTCACAGCGCAACATTTTGATAATTTTACCTTCATGTTGCCTATCTACTCTGCTACGAATCAGTTGTTATTTGGAATTTTTGCTTATGAACCACCACTGTCAACAAATTAGCACCACTTACTAGTTACTATTACATACTAGAGATGTACCGATACCACTTTTTTCGCCGATACCGATCCGATACCAGCTAAAAACGCCGATACCGATACCGATACTACAAAAAGGCCGATACTACCGATATTCCGATACCGATACTATGTAATTATTACTTAATTAGGTGTGCTGTGTAGGGCAGACGGGTTAAAACAATGATCTTTGAGCGTTGTTCATAGCACACATTATTTTAGATCGAAAAAGAGATCTATCACATAATATGAATTTGATGTTTGGCATCCAGATGCTTTAACTGATTAAGATACACGCTAGTAATCTTGGTGTTCAATTAGAAAAATCCTGACCCGGGATGTCCAATTCGAATTTATTGTTAATATCGCGACTTTCGAATATCGTTATTTATGTTTAAAAGAATATCGCCCACACATTCTAGCGCCGTCGTCCTACGTTCAAATTAAAAGCATTTTACAAATATTTTATTTTGTGGTTAATCGTAATCATCGCCGCAATAAAACAAAGCCAACATGAAAGAATATCAATCAGCACCGACAAGAAGAAGGCCTACCCATAACCGTCGAGGAGTTTTTTTTACTTTACTATTTTATAATATTTTACAATTGCTATCATGTATTTTGAGACAATCTAGTCTAACTCTAGGCGGTCATGTCAAAATATCTATAAAGAAATTGTGTAGTTAAACAAAATTAAAATTAATACCTGCGTAGACTGATAATTGTGTCGGAGTTTAGTTTATCGATATCGACGAACTAAAATGATAATAAATGATAGTCGTAATTGACGACAAACAGTCAGAATTTATATCCGTGCCAAAAGTGCATGTGCCGTTATTCAGGACCCCAATTCCACTGTATGATTTAAAACTGGGCGCCTACTTGCTTTTTGTTATGTGCTGTGTTGATATATTTCTTCATAATTACTATGTAACATCAAAAATGTCAATATAAAAATTTGACAGCAAAAATAGCCAAATTAGTTAAGTTAGTTTGACTGGTCAATAGCTAAAAACAGGTGAATCCTATTCCCTCGCGGGGATGGGAACAAGTATGGCTCATAGCCCACGATCTCTCCAGACAAAAAATAAATTGAAAAGTAGTATTCCAACTTATCTTTTAAATCATTCTGGACCAAATCAAAAAGATAAATATATCGGAAATATCGGCCTTAATCTAACCGATACTGATACATGGCCGATACCGAAATAATGACCGATATTGCCGATACCGATACCGATACATCGGTACATCTCTATTACATACTGCTAGACTATGTGTCAGGGTTAGATAGAAGAAATGAATGGAGGGATCGAGCGAGTCCTAACAGCCACATGACTTTAAGTCATGGTTGGGGCATCCCACAATGCAATATTTAAGTCAGATAGGTTTTTTTCTGTGACCTGTGGACCGAGCTTTGACGGGGTCACAAAGCCGGATATATCAGCTTATACCTGATATCCCAGCTATCTCGAATCAGCAGAAAAAAAGACTACCTAGTTTACCAAAGTCAATCGATTTGTGAGGAAGACAGAAAAAGTGGGTTGGCCTCAAACATGCTATCTGCCAATGACCATACCATAAGCTTCAAACACTAAATAGAAGTTACATATTTAGTAAAATATATTATAACTATTGTCTTAAATAACAATAATATAAAACTACTCATTTTTTATTTGGAGTTTGCAATAATTGGTCATCCGGATAAGAATTAATTTGGCACACGATACTTTGTCATGAGAGATGAGAAGTCCTGGTAAATTTATTTCTGCGGCATTCAAAACTGTCTTTGACTCATGAGTGACAAAAATTTTAACTCCAAGAAAATCAAATTTTGATAGAAAAAACATTGGCATATATAAGCTTTCCATAATTGTATTCTGTAAATGGTTTGTCAATTTATTGTCTTTAGTTTTTGTCATAAATTCTGACTTATTATCATCAGGATGACTTTTGACTTAAAATTTGACCTGATTGGAAGTGGACAAGGACATTTTGAGGATCACTGTTGGGGTTTATAAATTATAATATAGTAAATATGGTAATTTCGAACACTCCAAAATTCTTGTAACAAATGTATATCTACACTGGATATGTCTGGTGTTTTCATATATAATTTTCTTCAGTTATTCTCCAAGGATTCATAGCTCATCTTTAGCACTGGCCAATAGAATACTTCCACCAGGGGCTGGTACAGCCTTAATATTGTATGATTGATTAACAACACTCCACTTCAGGATGTTACTGTGGCTGGAAACCCAGAATACCAGCAGACACTAATTTATTAACATCTGCCCTGAAGGCAGGATTACCAGCATTAAGAAGCTTTTGTGCTTCGTCTGGATTATTTCGAACAAGTTCTATCAATTTTTGTATATCAGGCTTAGAAAGTATTTCCCTGATTTCAGGATTCGCAAGGATATCACTCATGGCGGCTTCGTCTTCTGAATTGACATTACTAGTTTTCTCTTCTTGCTTTGCACCAATATTAGTAAAATGATTACCCAAAATTCCATAAAATTCTTTAAAAAAATTCTGAACTTCAACATCATTTTTATAATACTCCATAGCACCTTTTGGATCTCTTTGCATCCATGATATTGCTTTTGAAATATTTGGGTCCGAAAGCTGATTAGAAAGTCTTTCATTCGATTCAACCTGTTTCAGTAAATCGGTAGTCACCCATGATTTATCTGTAATACCACTTTCTTTCATAGCTTCCTGAACATCATCTAGAACAAGTGGATTTTTTTGAGTTTCACTTGGATGTTTTGGAACAATAATATCAGTTTCTTGATCTTTCAATTTTGATTTAGCAGAATTAGGTTTGTGTGTTGCTTTCGTACCACTATTTCCGCCAAAAAGAAATCCTTTCTTCATACCACCAAATTGTGAGGGCAACTTTTTTGGCGGAACTTTTTTACAGTTCGCTGCATTTTCTACTACTTTCTGCTGTTCAGTGTGATCACCTTTTTGAGATGTCGGGTGTTGATAAGTCTTTTGTTTGTTTAATTTGATATTTTGTACAAGATCACTCATATCATCCAAATCTGGAATATCGTTCGTATCCATTTTTCTTTGAATTCAAGTATTTAAATAGAGACTATATCAAACATGCAGTCCAAATTAAACAATACAGAAGGTTCGTTATTTTTCAACAAGTCTGAAACTTTGCAATGTGTTCAAATGTTATTCATGTAATTTCTGTCTTGAGGTCTCACTTTTTTAAAATTATTACTCTCTCACACTAAAAAATCAATCATTAACTATGACGCCAAGAAATATTTTGAAAGAAGACAACAATTTACACAGACAGACAGACCGAGTCCGATACCGGTAACATACAATTCGAAACATTTCAACAGACTTCAACTATCATTGCCTACACCGTAACTTTTATATCGTCATTTATACATATATATGCACCTCATTATGCAATGTTAACGATATCACGGCAACTGCAGTTCTGTCTCTTGGTAATGTTTTGACACTAAAACTGCATTATGTATAGGAAATCCCGTCTGCGCTACACAGAACTGCATTTGACAGCAGCCCTGAGACGGTTTCCATTGACGACAGTCGTGCCTGCACCATTAAAACAGTTGAAAAAATTCCCACACGTTCATAATCTGGACACGTCCGATACAACCCTATACCAAAGTGACTATAACACACTTATAGACACTTTGCCCTATACCGGGGGTGTGCAAAGTGCAGCCCGCGAGCCAAATGCGGCCCACGAGGACAAATTGTGCGGCCCGCGGAGAAGTGCCAATTTTGAATGGTGTGCGGCAAGCTAAATTAATTTTTAATTTAGTTTGATCTGGTTCTCTTTGCGTTGCGAAGCTTATATTCGAGTCCAATTTATTATCTATGCCTATGACGTTACAACGTCCTCACAGCGAAGCGAACAACGCGATTCACAAAGAAGCTGTCCCTCGCCAAGCGGCGAACAATTGAAAGAAAAATGCGGAGCAGACGCTAATGAATTTGTAAGAACGGACAATTGAAGATTAGGCTACTGGAAAGCAGTTTGAAAAAATGTAATATTAAGAGATACAAAAGATACCACGGGTAATTTAGAGAATATTGTAGACTCCTGTTTATGTCCTCGATTTACAATCCGAAGTACTTCTCGCGCAAACAAGAATTTTTATTTCATCCCGCGTACGACCATTTTGCAGATACGAGATAGTGGATATCAAAACGTCAAAGTAAATTAGATTAATGAACAGCTTGGTCATGCATTTCGCTGCAATACATGTATATGTTCAATAATTCACATGCCACCGCCCAACTGCGTCACGAGACACATAATCAATAGCTGAAACGAAATCACGTGACCATCGAATCAGGACGGTTCCCTGATGAATTCACATCGCTGCATATATACTTTGTTGCAGATAATGCGTAGTTATGTAACAGAACAAGAATAAAAACTGCCGCCTTACGTTATAAATGTAGTAGTGATTTATCTATATGGGAATGATTTGCTCTACCGAAGCTTCGACTTCTGTTCGTGTGGTTGGATGTTTATCCCGATTATTTGATATATACGGTATACTCGGAGATGTGTCCGCTAAGGCGATTGATGATGATAGCAAAATTGCAGATGTTTATTTTTAGTCTTTTGTGCTCAAAACGAGGCGTCTTACTGTAACTATAGGGTACATTTATATATATTCAGACAATGGAAAAATGATATTCTATATCGTAATTAGCTTATTATCGTAATTATATATTAGATGTTATTTCTATTCTATTTGTCCTTTTTCATTCGACTAGATATACCGCCTAAAAGTTTATTTTAATCCCCACATTCAAAGCATCAACTTCCCCGTTTACCCCATTTAAAGACGAAAAAATGAATCAACGTACGATTTGGATTTTATTTGTAGTTATGCTGACGAATATGTTCAGACAAATATCAGGTAATATTTAATATTATATTCATCTATTTTAATATATTTGACAAAATAATAAATAGGCGTATTACTAGATGTGGTTCAATAACAGTGCGAATACTTCGCCACGACAAGTGCAGAAGGCTACATCTGACTGCTGTTTCATTAACAGGCTTTTGGATATCGATACAGATATCAACGCGTAATTAGCCTATATTTTTCCGTGCGCAGGTTTCTGTACTAATTCATCATGTAGGAGTCGAAATCCATTTAGCTCAAGTACATACTGTTGTCGTGATGGATATTGTTGTTCATATACACGATACAGAAATGATTTTTCGTACACCTACAACCGTTGGGGGTAAGTTTTAAAACAGAACTTGTGCAATTTTGCTTACATTTTTACGATTTTTTAACATTGGAATGCTGGGTCATAAAGTTATAACATAATCTTTTAGTTATTTATAATAAATTCAGCTTTTAAGATCACAATAATATAATATGTAACTACGTGTGGATGAACAACATGAAGCATTTTTCTATGAATAATGAATATTTGTTTTTAGAGCAGGATCAATCATTGGTACTATTGTAGGAAACATATTCTTTATGCTAGTATGTGTTGTCGTATGCTGGTACTGTTGCTACCGGAGTAAACGAGGTCAACGTCAAGCATCTTCTGGACGTGTCATAGTGACGCAACCGGTACCTACCATTCAGCCAGGTACGTTTGTTTATGAATATATGCATGCGAAGCTAAGCAAAAGAGCTAATCTCAACAATTTGTGTGTCGGTTTTAAATAGAACTACTTCACAAAGTTTTGCCGCAGCAAGATCATATTTGTTTTGCTCGAGAGTGAGAAATTGAGAAAAGTGTGAAGTTTTATATAATTTTGGTAACGGAATGAGACTGAATAACAGCAACGAAATTAAGCCGAATCTTCTTCGTTAATTCCATATTATTATTACATAAATATCCTCATATAAATATGCTTTCATTCGGCTGGCATATCACTTGCGTAGATTTCGTTTCGCATTTCATATTTGAATTTTTCAGGTCACCAAGGTTTACCGCCTTTGCAAATGCCACAGCCCTACCCGACTAATCAACCTATGTATCCACCGAGCGCATATCAAGAAACACAATTTATGCCAGTTCCAAGTGCTGCTCCACCCTCATATGTTGCAGCCACTCAAGGACAGTATGCTCCTTATCCAATTAAATGAGAGCGATACATCAAATTCAAATATTAAGACTGAATTTATAGTAGTGCGATTATCGCATTTCACCACCAATGTTAACGTAGGTACACTGAAATTATAATGCAATGGGAAGACTTGTAAAGATCTGTGAGAACATTTACTCTTATTTCATGCTGCCACATATCCTGGAAAATGGTACTCGTAACACAACGATCACCACGACCCAGTTGCCAAAGCTGAACGTTACATAAATATATATATAATATTCACCAACTGACCTAGATCCAGCACCTCGTGCTTTAGTGAATGTTATACATAAATATCTGTTACTTACTTCATGCCATTAATATGAACATATGATCCAGATTCGAGCGCATTTTAGCTATTCTTGGTAGTAATGCGGTCGTCCGGATTGTCGATGAAGTTCTTACCTACAGTCGACTATTTGTTATTTAAAGAACTGTTGTTGATTTTCTAAATATCTGTTTGCTGTAAACAATTTAAGCTTAAATTATCAGACCGATTTTTGACTAAGCCGTAGGTATAAGCAACGGCGGAATTAAAACAGCAGATATATATTTGAGGGAAATGGATTATTTTTGGACAGTGATATAAGAAATAGTATATATTATTTATATATATGTAAGTTTATTTCTATATCTGCAAGTTCCCTTGTTTACAATGAAATCATTGACAGCAATTGGTGATTTAGTTTTTCTGTAAACGTTTCATATGTTTTTACTCTAATTCTCTCTTTCTACTTTCTTTTTTATTTATATATATATATGTGTGTGTGTGCTGTATTCTATTCGCCTTTTTCTATAGTCCATTTTCTAAACCCGATGTCGGATTAAAGTTTGTTAAAATCACGGTGACGGTCAAGACAAGACGATGCCTATATGCGAATGACGTCCTGTGATCGGTAAAAGGTGAATGAATTGTCTTGTGCAGACAGGACCAAGCAGATTAAATGAGCTCGCGTCAAGTAACTCCTCATTTGAAGAGACCTTTTGTCTATTTTCAAGCTTTGGCCACGTGACAGCAGTGACGAAACGCAGAGTTGACTTAGTGCCGCGCGGTCCAGTTTTTTTAATTTTTTTTTTGGGGTCCGAGGTCCCAACTTAGACGGACTTGGTTGTTTATTTGACGGTAGCACTAGGCCTGCTCACGCTACAAGTAATAATTTTTTTTCAAATATAACAATTCATCATATAATGAGTGTAGAAAAAAGGTGAGAGATGTAAACTAGGCACAACAACGTTAAACCTCAGTGTCTGGTGTGTTTTCAAGTAATATCTGTCACGAAAGAATATAATTTTGAGCGACATTACAAAACCACACACGAGAAAAGATACCAAAATACCACGATATTTCTCGGGAGGCAATTTTAAAATAACTGAAGGCTTTATAGAGGACTTACACGGGTCACGTGACTTTGTTACTGGACGGCAATAAATCAAAAACGTCCATTTGGCTCCTGTCAGTTGCAAGTCGGATTATACGTTTCCGTTTTGTTTGGCTGTTGAAAATGGTTATTTCGTATTGTTCCGTTGGCTGTACGTATAGTATAGACAACGAAATGGATCTTAAGTTTTATTCCACTGATTTCAAAAGATCCGGAACGTCGCGCAATGTGGATATGATCTATTGCCTATTGGCAGAACTGCTTGAAGTCCAGAAGCCATCTCACTTGTGTTTCACTGTTTGCGGTCAGCACTTCGTTGATGGTGAGTGATAATGTGGTTGGTGATAGTGTGCCGTTATCAATTTCTTTAAATATTCACAAGCTCCCTCATTTCAATGGAAAGCAGATGACAAACTACTGTTATTAGTAGGCCTAGGCCTACTTGCAGTTGCAGACTTGACTTGTGTAAGACAGTAAGGAATTGATAATCAATTGCTATAAGGTATTGTTTCCTTAATTAGCAGGTAATCTATTACTAAGTGTGGAAGGTTGAATAGATAACTAAAATTTAACACCATGGGGCCTGGAAAAAATAACCAGAATTCAATTGAATTCGCCATCTAGGAATACGCTCGCCACCGGATCTCTGATCACCCTGGTAGTTTCACAGGTTTCAATCCCATGCGGGGATAGTTATGTGCGAGAGGATTGCAGCTCTACTCCAACCGAGGGTGGTTCACATGACCGCTGATCGGTTACGACCATTCCCCATAATCCCAGTCCATGCTTCTGAAAACAAATAGCTGGCCCATAAATTTCACACTCTTTGATCGTTAGATTCTATGAAAACTCTATCTGTATCCATTATCTTACAGATATGGGTGCGACCATGGAATAGATGGATGGCAAAGTATAGGTTGCAACAAGACCTCAGCTTGCGTGACTTGATAATACATCCTCAGTATCCATTTATTGATGCTTATCGTAATGACAAAGTAACTTGTGATTACTGTGGATTGGTGGAGATATAATGTCCATTGTGCTTTAAGGAAAGCAATTTCAAGACGACCCTATCAAGAAAAAAAATTGTTTCGATGGATCTGGTAGTAAAGGTTTCAGTCTAAAGTTGGACACCGATACTACAACCAGATACAGTTGCTAATGCAACTTAGCGAGGCGTAATATTGTGACTTTGTGATCTAAAAGAAAATTCTGATGGGTAGCCAGCTAGCCGCAACATTCTGTTTAAAGAATATTATGAGATATGACTTAAGAGTCTAAACTTTTATTTGAGAGGGGTGTAACCCAAGCTAATTTGCAAATAGTATTCATGGTACCAAATGTATCACACACTTTACAGTAATTGTAAAATATATTTGAAAAATAAAGCACATCAAAAATGTATTTTTAAAAAACAATTGGTTTTATCTGCAGATACTAGGTTGATATTGAGATTGACCATTTCAATGCTTAATTTTCTTTAGTCAAAAGGCACACTTGATTCGCAAAGATTCGTGAATGCGCACAGTACACCAATTTGTCTAATGTTTTGATTCCATAGGCAGGAGGTTGTGGATCGGTGCTGCTCAGGATGGGATATTTTTGCCTATAAATGCATATTACGTGTTTCACATGAATCCATCGTGCTCAGATTCGACTGTTTTCAAGGTCTGAAGGCTCCAACAGCCTAATTTTATCGGTACACAAGAGAATTTTCAGTGTGGCATGCATGGGTCAGTTGGAGTCACTGACCTCAAGATATCTATAAGCAAGGATAAGATAACCTGCAAGTAACATTCCATAATTTAGAGTAAAAAATGTATCTGCCTCCACAGCCCTTTCAAATGGAAGATATGATGCCTCAGGGGTAATTTCTATCAAATATTTTACAGTATTATGGTTCTAGTGAAAAGGGGTGTAGGCGGCTTATTTTAAAGTGTGGTAGGTCTAGTCGAAAGACACATTAAATGTTTATGCTAACAACTGCAAAGTAATATTGCAACGCGTACAAGTTAACAGAATTTGTTGAAATGGTCCTGCCTTTTGCCTTTCTTCAAAATCCCCCCTTTTCTAACTATTCTCTTCCTCTCTGGAGATGGCGAAAATTCAAATATCGATGGGACATATAAGCAGCTGATAATGGGTTATCTTCCCTTTTTCTTGAAAATAAATTAAACACTAATCATCATTTGACAGTGCCAAATTTGTGTATCAGATCAGTAATAAATTACCTGCTAACTAATAAAACAATCAGACAACACCTTCTGACCATTAATGAAGATTTCTTTCAATTTAAAATGCAACTATGCCTACCAATGTAGGTAGTTTTTAGGATAGAATTTATCTGTGGTTGGGGACAGATTGCAAGGTGCAACATCGTACGATTACCATTCTATGTCGGGATTAGTTAGCCAGTTATTTGTTTTAGAAGCATGGACTTGATGGTGGGGGATGTCGTAATCGACCAGCGGTCGTGTGAACCACCCTCAGTGGGAGGAGAGCTGCAATCCCCTCGCACATAACTATCCCCGCATGGGATTGGAACCTGTGAAGCTACCAGGGGGATCAGACATGCGGTGGCGAGCGTATTCTTAGATGGAGAATCCAAACTTTAGTTATCTATTCAACTTTTCACACTTTATAATAGTTTACTTTACACACTTACTAGTTTGTCATCGCTTTCCATTGAAATAAGGAAGCTTGTGAATATTTAAAAAATTGATAAGGGCTGTCCGCAAATAGTGAAACACAAGTGAGATGGCTTCTGGACTTGACACCAAGCAGTACTGCCAATAGATGATATCCACATTGCGCGATGTTCCGGATCTTCTGAAAACAGTAGAATATAACTGAAGATACATTTCGTTGTCTATACTATACGTACAGCCAGCGGAACAATACGAAATAACTATTTTCAACAGCCAAACAAAACGGAAACGTATAATCTGACTTGCAACTGACAGGAGCCAAATGGACGTTTTTGTTTTATTGCCGTCCAGTAAACAAGGTCACGTGACCCGAGCAAGTCCTCTATAAAGTTTCCTTGAGAAACTGATTAGAACGATAACGAACGATCTAGCATATAAATCCATATAAAACGAGTTGCGAATTTTATTCATTATTCTACAGAATCCACACCATCCGGTGTAGAATTAATGAGTATACTGTGGAGATATGAAAATTGCTCCAGGGCTCGGTGTATGTAGGTGTCGGAACCAGAAAACCTGATTATATGACGTGATAGAGTCAGGGCTGCCACTTTAGATGTTTTATAGCTGGATCTAGATGTTTTGTTCAAGATGGTCTAGATGTAATATTTGGAGTCTAGATGTTAGCAATAAAATCTAGATTTTTTTCAACGTTTTAAATGTTATTCAGTGAGAAATAAACAAAACGATGTGTATAATTGTTAAACGAATAGTATTAAGAATTAGATGTAAGGTTAATAAAACTCAAATCATATGCCTGATATGAAATCCAAGAGATTAAAAAACTGGAGAAAGCATAACGTATATAGTAAAAATATAAGTATAAAGTACATGACGAAGTTTTTTTTATCTTCAGTATATCACATAAATAGCTGAAATAGAGACTACCTGCAAATTTGACTGTTTTAAAAATCGTCTCTTCCTTTTCTGTCAGCAACATACGAGTCTACAACATACATTCTGTCAGCTGTCATAAAACCTAGCTATCCTAAAAAACATTATCGGCAGGACAGAAAGTCAGCTACAAAACTTCAACCTTGTAAAGTCAGAAAGTGGAACAATAACACGGCAACAGCAATGTAGGCCAGCAATGTTACTACGTCATTTAAATGCTGATGTTGAAAAAGTGCAATACCCATGAAAAAAAAAAAACTAAGAAACAGCAGGAAGATAGATTCACTCAATGCAATACTAGTCATCATTAAATTTAACCCAATTCCAAATAAACAATGTTGCACGTCATATAGAAACCCTGTTTTGGTTTCAAAAAAATATCTACAGCAGAAACATAAAAATCCCTATGAAGCAACAACATCAACTTCAAATGATCTTCGAAATCTACTATGATGTAATATAATGAACTATTTGTACTTTTGTTAGTAAGTTCATGTTTATATATATTTTTTGGGTGTTTTGTTTTCCAATCTACATTTTTAGATGTTTTTGAGGTCGATCTAGATGTTTTTGTTCAGACAAAAGTGGATAGAGTTAACTTCTCGATCCAGCGTGGATATCACATAACATACTGGTCCGAACCCACTTCATATACAAATTGCTGTCGCGCCACCCAGCACATAAAAATATATTCCAAAACGGCTATTACTTTTCGTATCTCCGTATTTTTACTTCTCATTGGGCAGTGTTTTGTTGTCTTATTGAAATGCTCAGCAGATACACATCTTCGGTGCTCAGTTTATGTGATAACTCAAATCATTATATTAGTTAAGGAAGGAACTATTAGTGAATTTTAGACGATTAGGCATAAAGTTACACCAGTCTGTCTACCT